ATGGCTGAATACAATATGAATAAAATAACAATAAAATTGGTATATTTGCATAATACAAAATTAAGTTTTAAGAATAAAGGTGTTACTAAAAATACTAAGAAATTCATATTTATTTGTTTTAATTGGTCTAATGTTATTTACATTTTATGTAAGAATTATACCGTATCATCGAAAAAAATCGGCGTCTAGTTGGCTTGGAAATGAACATCGATGACATGCCCTAAATAACTGTACACATAAAATAATTAACTAGAATTTTACAATCTTGGAAAATTTGATATTCTTGAATCTTGTTTCTAAATATACTAAATTTTTTGATTTTCTTGGGATTTAGGTTCGGGAAAAACGCTGATTAAGTTTTCATTTGGTTTTTCATTATTTTTATTTGGTTTAAAAAAAAAACGGTTCGGCTAACATTATAGCCTTCATCAGTGTTGTGTCATATGAAAAAAATAGTGTCGAATATAATCCAAAAAATTACATATAAAATATTCATACCACGCACATAATGTTTACTGCGTACTGCGTACTCCATAGTCAATGTAGATAATTTTAGTGTTAAGAATAATAATTTTAAAAAATATGTGGTCATGTTTTGATTAGTTTATATTAGTTTATTAATTGCAGTAAATATTATGAGGTGTGAATTATATTGTATATGTAATTTTTTGGATTATATTCGACACTATTTTTCTCATATGACACAACACTGATGAAGGCTATAGTTAGCCGAAACGTTTTTTTAAACCAAATAAAAATAATGAAAACCCAAATGAAAACTTAAATCAGCGTTTTTCCCGAACCTAAAAATCCCAAGAAAATCAAAAATTTTAGAATAATTTTACATATAAAATGCCAGCGATCTTCATTTCATAGCCATCGCTGACGCCTTTTTTAGATAATATTGTATTATTTGTAAATATAATTTTTCGAAGATTGATACTTGCAAGATATACATATAAATTTTGTGAATGCAAATAATAATACATCACTATTATTAGATATTGAATGTTTTTTGTTAAATTAGATCGATTTTCAAACCCCAAAATTTAAAATATATTTACATTTTACCCATTATGTTATGTACCTATACACTATTTGTACATCGTAAAACATTTGCTGCATTTGTATGGTTCATAGTTTATTTGCCAAAGTATTTATTACTATAAATAGGTATATATGTTGTAGTTATTAACTGTATATTATGTATATTTCATTTAAACTATATCATTTTTAAAATACAAACCAAAAATCTGAGGAATAATTATGTTTTCCATGTATTCTACAGCATATTTATTAATCCGTTATATCTAACTAGCGTGACGTCATAAATCTCGCCCGTAGGCTGATCTTATAATAGAAGGCACTGCCTGGATCTCGACTTGTTCGACGCCCAGTGTTGACATATCGATTAGAAATATTTAAAAACGACTTGGAAAATTCAGATTAAAACTAAAAACCTTACCTAACATTAGAAAATCTGATAACGGTAGATAGCAGATGGATGCAATTAGGTTAGAGCGTCGTTTTATCACTTTACCTAAAACCGCAAATCCTCTACACTTAACAACACTTCATTTCAGATTTTTGACAGCTCTACAAAATACCCACGTGTATTTGGCACAAAATACATTCATAGGCCATCTGAATTATATAGGATTATTTTTTGACCTCACACACTCTTGTTTTTGTGAATAAACACAAAAATGATTGATATTTCTATTTGAATAATAAACGTATTTTTATACGCTAATTGCCAATTTTTTTCAGTTTTGTAAGAGGTTTTAAGTAAAATCTCAAAAAAATGATTTGGATAACCTAAAACTCATCGGCGATTTTACATCAACTGGTCTATTTAAATGTAGGTCAAACGTTGACTATTTATTTATCTAATAGAGGGCGCTGTTTTTAATTCGGAAAAAAATTGAAAAATTTTTTGATTTATTCCTGACTGGTGCTATAATTATTCATTATTTAGAATTTCATTACTTAAGTTTACTAAACTGTAAAAAGGTATTTTTTAAAATAATAAACGTTGCACATTTTCTTACTCTATTGATGCACTATACCTAATAGTAATCTACAATAAATAAAATTAATTTAAGTATTTTTTTGTCAAAATATAAAAATGTCAACTTATAACTTACAGCAAACTTACAGAACGTGGATAACATAGTAGGTGGCAACATTGCATTCTCTCAAAGCACTATATGAGCACCACCCCCTCCACACAAAGTCATTCAACCTTTTCCAATATGGCGGAGATAGAAGTGCTTTATATGGCGCGCATTTTAAACCCTATTTTAGGGCTTTTCGGAAACTGTGATCTGATTGATCGGATTGATAGGATTACTAATCCAGACGTTCGAAAAGTGATCTCAAAACGAGTCAATGCGTTCGGAAAGTGATCCGAATAACTCGATTTTTGCCATATGTTGTGATCCTACTAACCCTCCTAATGAGGTGGGTAGAATTAATCAGCTGATCATTTCTAGGATAATTTTAAACGTAACGGTCCGCATAGAAGTATAAAGTTTTTTAATAACCGTTTTGTCCGAAATCACTTTATCTAATGTTGATCAAATACATGATATTTTGTTAGTGACCGTAAAAATGAGCCAATCAGCATAGCATCAAGTAACTCTAGATTTTAAATAAATAAAAAACCAACAAGTAATTCTAAAGATACTGACTGCGAAAAAGCACTATCGGAGACACCCAATAGGAAAAAAATGAAAACTCAACTACAGAAAAGTGGTTTAAAACATTTAGATTAAAATAGCCAGGCATAATGAAAGAATGGAACTTGATAGACAATTCTGAAAATTTTCATCACAATTGGTAGATAAAAATTGATATATTTTTTTATTATTAATATGATGGAATGTTTATTATGTTGGCAGTAAATAAATGATTAAAATAAAGTTTATAGTGTTTTTGTTTTAAATGGCATAATTTTAAAAAAGCCTAAAATAAAACACATTTTGTTTTTATAAAAAATAGTTTCAGAATAGAAACTAAAAAGTATACTTAAAGCAAAACAAATAGGATAAAAATAGATCTTATACAATCGTTAAAGAGGGATATTAGGATTATTTGTTTAATTTATCTCTTTTTACGAAATATATTTAAATGTGATTGTTAACCCGGTAAATCTAATGATCCAACCGTTCGTAATTAAACTACCAGCTGATTACTCTCAGCACTGATTTTGGAACAGCTGATTAGTAAACTACCTAATCTAGGATTTTATTTCCGAAAACCCCTTTAATTTCCAAATAGACATTTTTCACACAAATGTCTATTTGGAAATTATTACGTAGATATACCATTACGTAGATTAGATACCATTACGTAGATACCATTACGTAATACGTAATACCATTAGTAGATACCATTACGTAGATTACGACATGGGGGGTCTTCTTTACTTATTTTTATATTACCATATTTTGAGGCAATTTAATGCACTTCTTACCCGAGAACTACTAGTAGGAGTGAAATTATCTCTTTTAATAGCTGTCAACCATTTTTTACGAAGCTCGTCATTTTTGGGGAATATAAAAGCAGAAACCTTGGGACCCCCTCTATAATCCCCGGGGCAATTTGGAACAGAGCATGTAAAAGGCATGCTACAATAAAATGTTAACCCTTTAATACCTATCTTTTGATTATTGTAAGTAACCATTATAAAGTACTACGCAGACTGGCGGTGAAGACTTTTTACTCATTTAGGTGTAATATATTGATAAATACTTCTAGTTCTTACCTTAAAATAATTAATAATACAGGAGTACGACAAGCACAAAAGTTTGAAGTTCCCTATATGGAATGTCTGGTTTGGATTTTTATTACACTCTTATTTTATCACAATTTTCTGATCACACCATGCAGTGAACACTAAGAACTAAACAAACGTGTTGCAGAAGCACAACAAACTAGAGATAATTAATTATTTCTGATATGCAATCGGAACGAGAAACTACTACCGGCTTTTCAGGTTAAAGGTAAACAATTTAAAAACGTGCTGCCTTCGCCACCATATTTGCCTTGCACGTATCATGTTGATTGGCCTTGAGTGGAGGGGGTGATGATATGAGTCATTGATATGAGCACTATAAACAAATTTCCCGAAACTGAACAAGCAGAACTCAAAAGTTTTTCAATATTTTCCGGAAAATGTCCTGCCTGAATGAATGAACTTCACGGGCGTGTTTCTGGGGTCGAACTATACTACCTGTTAAATACTGGCACTTATTTCTGGAATACCCTTGTATGTATGGTCTACGCTTTGAATAGTTCTTTACTAAGTCACATATATGATATAGTAAATGCCACGAATGTTTGGGAGTGATTCATCGCTTGATGAAGTTAACACGCGCGCTATAATTTTTACATTAAAAACGTAAATTTTTACCACAGACGTAGGTTTTTAAAGGCCCGGTCTAATCATCTGCCTGCGCTCCTCCTTCTTATTCTAAAATGTTAGCGTGATTGACAAAGACGATACTATATCGCGTTTCTTTGATTCATTCGTTTTTGTGCGTCAGTCCATTGGTGTGCTTGCAGTGCGACCAATGGGGCATTCCATTTTATATTTATAACCAAATATATGTTTTGACAACATTTTGACAGTTAAAACAACAAATTACAACAGATGATATATTGATTATTATATGACTTGAAACACCACGGCACTGGAATTAAGTTTTATGTGACCTTGAACAGATTAGTTCACAGTAACGACCGATGAATCACTCCTAAACATGGCGATTACTTTATTACATAATGCTTAAGGTAAAAAAATGTATCCGTCATGCGTCAGTCCAATAAGGTTGATGTATGGCATGCCATTTTTTGACATAAACCAATAAAATTGTGTAATATGATGGCGAATATCTGTAAATCCACACTTATAGTAAGAAACAGTTAACATGTTATTATAGTAAAAAAATACTATTAAATTAATATTTCAAAGAAAATTAAAAACACATTAAATCAGTAATATAAATATATATTTGTAAATGGTTGATATACACAATATTTAACAAAACCTAGTAGGTATTATAGTTAGGTGAAGGAAGATTGCATCATTTTTAAAACCAAATCCTTTTATCGCTGGAATAACTGTGAAGATTGTGTAACATAAGGTATACAATTAGCTTAAAATCTATTTGAAAACCAGAAATTAACCATTCATTCACTAAATATTCTAACGTAACTATTCCTCATTTCAACGATATTAACTTTTTTTTCTCTGAATACTCCCTTCACTAATTATTATATTATACTACAAAATGGCTCTAAAGAAAAGCAATGCATGAAATTGTTGCAGCTAAGCAAAAAAAGTAATAATACAATATTGCCTTTCTTTGTTTACCTGTAGTAAGAAAAAGATGCTTTGGTAATATATTAAAAACTAATAATAATTAAGACAGCAATCACACCATGCAAAATTACAAAAATACTTTGTAGGTTCCATTCACAATTTATTACATAGATCTTGATGTCACTGGCTTTATACAAGGTAATTTTAAAACGTATTAACTCTTTTTTATAAAGTAAACATATAAAAATAAAATAACTTTATAAAGTTCAAAAATTACCCTAATTATACGTAATTTCCTATAAAATTACGTGCTAAGACCTCTTTGCTTCCTCTTAATTCTAGCATAGGGACCAACGTCTGGATCCATGACAAAGTCATATAAAACTTGTGTCCAACTGTCGTGCTGGGGTAAGTCGTCATAGAATTCTGGAGCAATTTTTTTCACCTGAAATGATAAAAAATATTTTTTCTAGAATTTGTTGACATATTCCATGATAAATTTTGTACAGTATTTTAATTTTATTTTGTCACATTCTTAATTGATTATAACTTTTTGATTTTAAAAGATTCAAGTATCTTCTAAAATAAAAGCATTCAAGTACAAGCATTCCTGTATATTTGATACCAATTAAACTTTTAGTTGTAATTTAAACTTTCCGCTGGGGGTTCAGGTGGTACTTGGAATAAGAAGACTAGGAAGGAGCATATCAAAAATCTTAGGTCCACCGCGATGGGCCTCAAATATGGCGGACTTAAATTCCGGTTTATCAGTGCCATTCTAATTTTATTTAAAAAATGTAAAACTATGATGTAGGGTAGACGTGTGGTAGACTCTATAATTTTTTATTTATTTTTTACGTTGTGAATAAATGTTGGTAGTTATTAAAATTGTTATAAAAATATAAAATTCTAATAAAAATAGATAAGTTATAATAATTATTTATAACTATAAACATCCGATACGCTACTGAAGCAGGTAAGTCAAATTGACGTATCTAAATTCTTTGACATCTAACTTTGATAAGTAGTAAATAAAAGCAAAAATGCAAGAAAAAATATATAATGAGTTAATTTAAGTGAATTTCATAAATGATCGGTTTATTACACGTATGTATATTATATAGTCACTTACTAGCGAAAAGTTGTTCCATTATTTCACTCGATTTTTGCCGAGATCAACCGCACGCTACACAACCAACTATTTTAGAGTCTTTTTCGATAAATCGCGATAGTGTCACTGTTATTTTAAGTTCTGCCACAATTTCCATCTAGATTTACTACCTTTATACAACTATCAGTAGTAGAATAAATAATAAATAACATAAATAAGCTCCGTAGAGACTGACAAATCCACAAAATTTCAAATCAAATTCAAATGTGTCAAATGAACCTTCAAACAGAACTGTCATCCCTACCCTAGAGTCCTTTTTCCGCCCACCATGCATGAATACATGGATATCATTGGTCGCGTTCATCAGGACAAGTTGATCAGTGAGCGATGTACCATCGATTGGTTGTCCTGCTGAACGTGCTTTTTAGATCAAAATCATAAGTAATGCATATTAAATTGTTTTCACCCATTTTTGGCACAAATCGAGGGGATTAGTCAACCGAGAACAATAAACAAAATGCTTTGTTTTCGTTTTCCAAAACATTTTGTGACATTTGGCGTATGTGCCGTTTAATCCATCATGCATCGGTAGCGTAGCGTATTTTAAATCTGATGGAAAAAATGGCGACTGATCCCAGAGCGCTCACAACTAATCGGCGCGTTCAGCAGAAAATTAGTAATCGCTGCGGTAGCGCTACGTCCTGATGAACGCGATCATTATGCTCCTTCCTTAGTCTTCTTATTCAAAGAGGTGGTAGCTCTGCTGTAAAAGATGTCAAGTTGCCACATTTATTTATTTATTTCCTGACATTGTCATTCGTTTTGACACTTTAGTTTTGTATTACGTGTTTTTGGTTTAAATAAATAATGTTGTGATACTTTAAGTTTAAAAATGTTTACTACCAGACCTTGCAGTCGAACATTGTTCTTTTTAGAATCTCTTTTAGTACGAATTGTACAAGATAGCTTAATTCCCGTAAAAAACTCATTGCAACTTTATATATTTTGGACGGAAAAACGGTAGCAATGGCCCTTTATGTCCCTTAAGTGCTGTGTTAAGAAAGTGAGTTTTGTTGATGTAAATAATAACTGTTTATATATTTATAATTAATTTATTTTTGTTTCCTAAAATATTTCGATTAAAAGAAAATATGTAAAAGTGGGCAACGCTGTGCCGGTCAAGCTTAATCACGTGACTAAAAGTTTATTTGATATGATGGTCGATTTCAAAAAAATAGAAAGTTGTTTTAATATTTTGGGAATTCGCATGTTTTAAAATCTAGGGGCGGAAATATTGAGACCGATTTAATTTTTGCGAATATAGCCTGAGAATTTTGAGATTTTATGTATGTCATCTCTTGTCTATACGAGGCTGGGCTGAGAAATAATCGGCCTCGGCTCAAAGATTTGGCGGCGCTAGCAACAAATGCAATTGTTTATCGTAAAAACTATCTTTTCAAGTGACTTCTGTCAAATTTTCAGCGAGCTGCGTCACTTAGTTTGTACTTGACAGTGATTGAAGGCGAACAGATTTTGCATTTTTATAAAAATGAATAAAATCAAATATCGCGCAGTGATTAGATTCTTGTTTCTAAAAAAGAAAACGTCTGGAAATCTACAGCTTCATTATCAGTAATAAAATATTGGACTGCCGAATTTAAACGCGGTCGTACGATAATTTTTGATGATGAGCATCCAGGCTGTCCAAGAGAGGTCACCACACCAGAAGTGGTCGATAAAATCCATGGTATGGTAATTGACGATCGATGGGTAAGAGTGTGCGAGATTGCTGAGGCTATTAGGAGTGTTTGGCAATGTTTAACCACAATAAGAATTACTTTTTGCGCCGTTTTGTAATCTTGGATGAAACTTGGATCCATCACAATACGCCAGAGACGAAGGAACAGTCAAAGCAGTGGGTTTCTCAGGGCGAGCTAAAGTCAAAGAAAGCCAAGGTGGGTCTGTCTGCCAACAAGGTCATGTCCACAGTTTTTTGGGATTTGCACGGTATTATTCATATCCATTACCTTGAAAAGGGCAAAACGATCACCGGCGAATATTACTCAAAGTCGTTGGACCGATTCGACGCCGATTTGAAGCAAAAACGACCGCATTTAGCGAAGAAGAAAGTGCTCTTCCACCAGGACAACGCACCGGCGCATACATGTGCAGTGGCAATTACAAAACTGTATGAATTGCGTTCCGAATTGGTTCCTCATCCGCCATACTCTCCAGATTTGGCGCGCAGCGACTATTATCTGTTTCCAGACTTGAAAAAATGGCTCGGTGGTAAGAGATTTGAGTCGAATGGGGAGGTCATCGCTGCGACAGAGGCCTATTTTAAGGACTTCGAAAAATCGTATTATTCGAAGGGCATCGAAAAATTGGAGAATCGTTGGACAAAGTGTATAGAGCTTAACGGGGACTACGTTCAGAAATAAATTGAGTTTTGCCGAAAAAAGTTATGTTTTCTTACCTAGGCCGATTTTTTTTCAGCCCAGCCTCGTATGTATATAATCATTTTAGGTACTTATTTTTTTTATAATCTAATTTATTTTTTTTAATTTGCAGTAAGAAATGAATGTATTGAAAAAAATTCTCAACAGAGACACCGCCCGTTCTTATACATTGGTTATATAACAAAAAATGTTTATCTTGAAATAATTTCCACTTAGAACACTATTTTCTTCAAGTCTTCACTTCTTTATATTATTTTACCTAGTATATAATTTTTCTGAAAGAAAATCAATTGCTATGATAGATTAATTAAATTAAATAATTATTTTCGCACTTAGAACACTACTTACTTCAAGTGTTCACTTCTTTATATTATACCTGATATATAATTGTTCTGAAACAAAAGCAATTGCTATATTTTCAACATAAAACAATATGGGCAAAAAATTACATACACTTTAAAAACAACCATATTTTGGAAATATTTTTGATATTATGTCTTCTAGATATTTGTTCTGAACCTTTGAATAAGAAGACTAAGGAAGGAGCATAGTGCTATCCATGTATTCATGCATGGTGGGCGGAAAAAGCACTCTAGGGTGGGGATCCTTTACAGTTCTGTTTGATGATTCATTTGACACATTTGAATTTGATTTGAAATTTTGTGGATTTGTCAGTCTTTACGGAGCTTATTTTATGTTATTTATTATTTATTCTACTACTGATAGTTGTATAAAGGTAGTAAATCTAGATGAAAATTGTGGCAGCACTTAAATTAACAGTGACACTATCGCGATTTATCGAAAAAGACTCTAAAATAGTTGGTTGAGTAGCGTGCGGTAGATCTCGGCAAAAATTGAGTGAAATAATGGAACAACTTTTCGCTAGTAAGTGACTATATAATATACATACGTGTAGTAAACCGATCATTTATGAAATTCACTTAAATTAACTAAATTATATATTTTTCTTGCATTTTAGCTTTTATTTATTACTTGTCAAAGAATTTAGATACGTTAATTTGACTTACCTGCTTCAGTAGCGTATCGGATGTGTGTGGTAATAAATACTTATTATAACTTATCTATTTTTATTAGAATTATACATTTTTATAACAATTTTAATAACTACCAACATTTATTCACAACGTAAAATAAAACAACAAATTATTGAGTCTACCCCACGTCTACCCTACATCATAGTTTTATATTTTTTAAATAAAATTAGAACGACACTGATAAACCGGAATTTAAGTCGGCCATATTTGAGGCCTATCGCGGTGTACCTAAGATTTTTGATATGCTATCTTCTTATTCAAAGTTCTGAACCATTATTGCTTCCTGTCACAATTCTGCATCGCAATAGTTGCAAAGTACAGGTTTCTTTAAAATTTTAAAGTTTCCATTTTCTAGAATTCACTGTTTTGACTGCAAACTGGTAATATTGGAAACTTTTCAAAACCATTGAGAATCGAAATCCTTTATAGACATTCTATAGTGGTTTCTATATTTTTTTCATCGTTAATTCTGTTTTATTGCACTATATTGTGATATTGCTTACAAACAGAAGGTCTTATTTACACCATATTAAAAAAGGTACTTTAAAAAAATTACATCTTAACTGTTAATAGACCACCTGTAAACATGTTAATTACATTAATTACCAGCACTTAACAACTCTTACAATAGCTACTATTTTCTTTTTGAAAATCTCTTTCAAATAAAGCATTAAAATCTAACATAGTATTTTAAAGATCATCTCAAAATACGATAATTTTTTTGAATAAAATTAATGAAGACCTTCATTAAAAACTTGGAAAAAGAATATTTAAGTCATGGTATTTTATCTAAATAATTATATGTATGTATTTCATACTTACTTCTGGTAATTTTGATCCAGGTACAGCAGGAAAATCATGATGCTCATTATGGTACCCAACATTAAAAGTTATAAAATTCAAAGGCCCATAGTAACTATATGTTTCATAACCTTTTTTAAACATGTAGTGTTCTGAGATGAAATGACCTGCAACAGGATGCAATCCCATAGCCATCACACTACCAAACAACAGATATCCTAATATTCTGCCTCCTAAAAATCATCCAAAATATAATAAATATTAAAAAAAATATGAAACAAAGAAAAGAAAATAAAAAGATACCTAAAAAAAGTAATAATAATTAAAATAAAAAATATATATACAGGGTGGCGCACCTCATTCGCCTCGGTTGATTATACGATAAACTAATTTTGATTTTGAAAATAGCTACTAACTGTCACTAGAAACTTGTCATCAGCCATCTTGGTTGCCATTTTATTGAAAAATTACTCTTTATTCAAAATCTGAACTAGATAGGTATAGGACACCCTAATATAGTTTGAAAGAGCATTTAAACCTGCTTCGATATATTTAAAAAAATACAGGGTGTTGTATTTGAAATAAGGAAGTTTTTATGTAAAATAAATATTAAAAATAGACCAGCAATTTTTGATACCCCTGTATACATTAAACAAAGCAATCAAATTTTTCAGTAAAGTTTATTTCTCTGGCTTAAAGGTCAGCACAAGAATTAACTCTGAAAAGCAATGTACAGGGTGTTAATAATCTATTCTATTGTAGCCTACATTTTTAAATATCTTTAAATATCTCAAAAACCAAAGATTTTAAACATATTTAACCTTTATAACAAATACCTTTTTTTGGGCCCAGAAATCCAAAAATGAAATAAAATACAGGGTGTTCCATAAGAAAAAATATAACTTTGGTATGTATCTTAGTTCTGAAACACCCTGTACATTTCAAAATAATTTTAAATTGTGCACATTGCCACCCCACATATACTCATAAAATATTTTGTTTCTACATCTTTCCGTTTTCGTATAATCAACCGAGGCGAATGAGGTGCGCCACCCTGTATACCGGTTGTTAATTTGTTTATTACTCGCGGCAAGAGCTTTATGGTTGAAATATGGCAACCTCGGCCCGCTCGTCGATAGACGACGCGACGCGACGACGCGACGGGTCGAGTCGGCAGAAAACCCTATAACTGCATGCGTTCTCAGTAGGCAGTGTTGCCATTCTGTTCCCCTATAAGTAACTGTCGAGTTAACAACCTGTATTTGTTTTAATTTTATAAAGATACAAGATATTTTTTACCTAAGAAATAGACTACAATAGCATCAAATATGATTTGAATCACTGCATTGATCAGCTCAAGTTGTGTAGGTGGTTTGGGATAAGTGACTAGTGGCCTAAATGAGTAGAAAAACGGCTGTAAGATAACCCAAATAAATTTTCCAAAAGTATTACAGAACAATTTTGCTTCTAAATATGTCGGAATGTCTGTATCCATCTTTTCATCTCCTTGGTACTAAAAATAAAATTACATAATGGTTCTCTCAATTACATATTAAAGTTATGTTAAAAAATGAGCCACCCTGTATATATCCTATATGACGGCCCTTTGTTGTATACAGGGTGTCCCACTTAAGATGGATACAAGCCAATATCTTGATTGTTTGTTGAGCGATCTTTTTCATTTTTGGCAGGAGGTTGTATGGCTATAAGACGTACATTTTGCCCAGGGCAAGAAATGCGATACCTCATAGACGTACGTTTTAATGGGGTTTGATATTTTTCGAGTCAAGAGTAAACTACCCTTAGGACAGTATTTATTTCAAATCTGATAAATTATATTGAATCCTCCTTGGCTAAGATACTTAAGTTCTAATTTTGATAAATATTGATACAGGGTGTGTCATTAAAATAACACATTTTTATTTTTTTATTATTATTTTTTTAAGTACTTACGACGCCACTGGATAAACAACTGGTTTATTATCAATAACCAATTATAACCAATTATCAATTAATAATCGTTTTTTTTATGGTGGTTTGGTCGAAGATGTTGACTTTTAGTTCGTTATAGCCGTTATAGTTTTATAAATCTTTGTTTAGAACACATTTTTCAAAATTAATAGTGATTGTTTTAAATATCTAACTATTTGGATTTTTTAAAATATTCCTCAAAATTGAAAACTGGGTTTTTAAATTATTTTGTAACTCATTTTATTCATTTGTATTAGTAAACTTAAAAAACAATTTTTTAAAGTAAACAAAATAAATTGAAAATATTAATTTTTTTTGTATCGTATCTTAATTATTATGGAAGCTATCTGAAAACTTAAATCGATTATTAATTGATAATTGGTTATTGATAAACCTGTTGTTTATCCAGTGGCGTCGTAAGTACTTAAAAAATAATAATAAAAATAAAAATGTCTTATTTTAATGACGCACCCTGTATAAATATTTATCAAAATTAGAACGTAAGTATCTTAGGTAAGGAGGATTCAATATAATTTATCAGATTTGAAATAAATACTGTCCTAAGGGTAGTTTACTCTTGACTCGAAAAATATCAAACCCCATTAAAACGTATGTCTATGAGGTATCACATTTCTTACCCTGGGCAAAATGTACCTCTTATAGCCATACAGCCTCCTGCCAAAAATGAAAAAGATCGCTCAACAAACAATCAAGATATTGGGTTGTATCCATCTTAAGTGGGACAGCCTGTATATCCTATAAAAAAAGAATTTACGTGCAATTTGGCAACAATGCAGGGTGAATTTTTGCAACACATAGAGAATTTTACCGTTTGCATTAGATAAAGTGATATTGAATGAAAAAATTATAATGAATATCTTTACCCTGTGATGCTCCAAGTGGTACTTTTTAAAACTTATTGATATGGGTATACCGATTGGCAGATTTGCAAAGAAACCAAACAATCTATTATGCAAAGGCCTGGCGTGTCCAAAGGCTAAATTGTGCGATATTTCATGTATAGCTGGAAATGAAAATTAAATTTTTAAGATAAAACATACATAAAAACGCAAGTTTGCATAATATTTACCTAACATTAAGGAGTGGTTTATAACTCCACCCAAGCAATAGGCAACTAAAAGCAGTACTGGCCATGATCTGTCACGTAATATGTACATTAAAAAAAATTGTGTTAACACCATTCCCGTAACTACCCATTTGAATTTGGGATCAAAACCAAAAAGTTTCTTAATTTGGGGATATTTCGCTACAAAAAAAAATCAACACCATATAATAGCATACTTACAAAGAAACTACCGTATGATCGAAAAAAAAACGGCGTCAGTTACACTAATTACAGTTACTTTTACATATAGAACAGCAATGTCCATTTCATAGCCATCGCTGACGCCGTTTTTTCGATCAAACGGTATTTGGTATATTGTAATTAAAATTCTGTAAATTTTCTTATAAACAAAATAATATATGAATCACATTTCCTATACGTTTATTTTTGTGTAGATAACAACATACAAAAATAACAAATATTATTAAATTGATCCTTTTATCTATAAATAATTCACAGAAAAATGTGAGTAAAATTGTAAGAATTCTTACATCAAAACCCATGTATTATGATTAAATTGTAAAAATATTTGATACTTATTTAAGCTAAAAATCAAAGTTTTGTATCCATATAACTCAGAGAAACACTAAAGACAAAAATACATAAAAATACATTATAAATTTCAATAAATTTGTACAGTCTACTGTTATTTAAACATATTTATTAATGGTATATCGTTACCCTAATTCGCAAACCTCGTAACTCCAAAATTTTTCAAAATCGTGCTTTTTGCGCCATCTAGTAATATAGCAAAGAACGGACAATACCTGAAAACCTCATAACTCCAACTATATTCTAAAAGGTTTAAATTCAAGAAATAGAAAAGCTTCTAACTCCAACTAAGGTAGTGTCCAATGAAAAGCTTGTAACTCCGAAAATCGAAAGCAGACATAAATCTCGTATCTCCAAGAGACGTTATAACATGCATGGAAAATCTCGTAACTCCGATATTATTTGTTAGAAAAGCGGGAAAATCAGACTTGTGTGTTTTGTGTTGTTGCTAATTTTTTAATATAAATATTGCATTCAGAACTGGAAATAATAGATACTTTATCAGGTACGTACGGCAAACATATTATAGTTAAATTCGCTAGTGTGCTTAAATAATTTGTATAATTAATAATTTACGCCCTTTTAACCAACCCAAATAACTATCTACTCAACGTGTTTATTTTTTGTCAATAATGACATGTATTGACTATTTCTATTTTAAATATCTTGAGAACGATTACTCGTAGCGATCTTTACAGACATTTTTTGCGTAAAAAATCACGGAAATGTATTGGAGATCTACAAAAATTTGAATATTTTTTGTAGAGCAGAAAAATTATAAAACTTTATAATACCCAAACTCTTTCTCTAAATATTGATAGTTTTTTTAGACAAAATGGTTTTCGCCATTTTTTTCTAACAAAGCATTCCATTTCAGGTCATGTCTCGTTCAAAAAGGATTTTAGAAATGGCCATGAAAGAGAATATTTTATTCGAGATGCCACGCATCTTAGAACCAACCCAAAATAATAATATATCTGATTTTGTGCCACTACCTCAGGAATCCTACCATGTTATGGAAACACTTACAGCAACTTCTTACGATCAATTATTAACTAAATCAGAGTCATCTGAGATCCATCCCTGTGAATCTGAATTAATTCTTTCCAATTTCACGAACGATTTAAGAGTCATGGAACATTCAGATATAGGGCAGTCTGTCGATGGAATCGGTTTGAGCTTAGGTGAAAGTTCAAATAAAGTACTCCAGCAACTGTACCCAGAATCAGTAGGTTCTATTTGTGACGTTGCACCGATGATGGGCGTGATTCAAAATGCACTGAATCCTGCTTTTATTCCTTATGAACCTCATGAGTCAACATCAAACGAAGAGGAAATATTGACCAAGAAAGCTTTGCATATTGACGGGTGTAACAAAGATCCGAACTGCATTCCTTACGAACAAGATGAGTCAGCAGCAAATGAAAAATAAACTCTTATCAACAAAACATCATCTATTGCTGAGTTTAGCAAAGATCCGGATTTCATTCCTTACGAACAAGATCAGTCAGCAGTAAGTGAAAAGGAAACTCTGATCAATAGATCTTTATCTCTTCCTGGGTGTAGCAAAGATCCAGACTTCATTCATTACGAACCAGATGAGTCAACTGCAAGTAGTGAACCGGAAGACGTTGTCCGTAATAAGTCGCATGAAGTAAATGAAAATTTAGAGACTACTATGGTGCAAGAATGTAAACCAACTAAAAAGAGCTAAGAGCGAAGAATACTTTGGGAAAAAGAAGGAAGGTGATAAATGGAATTACAAAATATCCAGGCCAAAACGAGAATTAAAGGCACGATGCCACTATAAGATTTCAAGTAAAAAATCCTTGAAAAGAACAGTAAAATGCATAGAGTTTTCTGAAGAAGATAGGAACCAGATATTTTCCAAATTTTGGGAACTTAGTGATGCTGAAAAGAAGATCTATGTAAATATGCTTATGACAGCTGAAACAACCAAAAGGCCAAGAGATAGAAAAGAAGAAAACAGTTCAAGACGACAGTCAAGCTTTATCTATTATTTAAAGAAAAAAGAAGAAAAGCTACGAGTCTGTAAGAAAATGTTTTTAAATACGTTATGCATAGGTGAATGGACTGTAGCTTCTTGGAAAAAGAAATCTGTCAAAGATGAAGAAAACAAAGTAGATGTGGTGTTTGAAATACAAAACGAGACTTTGCAAGATCATACACGAGAAGTTTTCCAGAAGAGAAGGAACTCCGTACTGGACTTCTTTAATAGTATTGCTAAAATGGAGTCCCATTATTGCAGAGCCCGAAGTCAAAAGCAATATCTTGAACCTATCTGGAGTTCAAAAATGCATTTGTATAAGGTATATTCCGAAAGTTGGTGCTCTTTGAACAAAATTTCGCCAGTGTCAACAGCCCTTTTCTCTAATATCTTTGAGGATATGAACCTAAGTATTTTTGCGCCAAAAAAAGATGAATGTAGCACTTGTGTCGTAAGAAATACAGGCAATCTGAGCGAAGGAGAATATGAATTACATCAGTTGAAAAAAAATGAAGCCAGGGATGAAAAAAACAAAGATAAGCAAAATGAAGCTAATAGAGTATATACAATGGATCTTCAATCCGTCTTATTGGCGCCAAAGTCAAATGTTTCTATGCTCTATTATAAAAAAAGCTTATCGTTCACAATTTTACGATTTACAATATTAAAACAAAACAAGGCTTTTGTTTTTTTACGGAACGAAAGTGAGGGTAAATTAGGGGCAAATGAGTTCTCAACCATTATCTCTTATTTCATAGAACAAGAAACGCGCGATCTGCCAAAAAATCAGGAGCTAATATTTTACAGCGACAGATGTTGCAGTCAAAATCGTAATGCAACTCTAGCCAACGCCATCTTACATGCTAACAATATTACTGTTATCCAGAAATATTTGGAACATGGGCATACGCAAATGGAAGCAGATTCAATGCATTCTCTTATAGAACGTTCACTGAAACATCGAAAAATAAACATTCCTGCGGATTATGTCGATGTTTGTCTTCAAGCTAGATCAAAGCCCGAACCATTTAAGGTCAAATACCAAGATCATTCATTTTTCAAAGACTTCAGCAAACTAAATTATTTAACTTCTATTAGACCAGGAAAAAATGTGGGAGATTCAACGGTTCAGGATATTCGTGCCTTAAAATATAATCCTTCAGGTTTTATTGAGTTCAAGATTAGGCATCCTGACGAGTGGCGAATTTTACCCGTCAGAATAAATAAGAATCCAAAAATTCTCACGCCCATACTATATAATGAACGTTTAAAAATATCAAAAGATAAGTATGAACAGTTACAGCAAATAAAGGGTTGCTTGGAAAAAGACTATCATTCATTCTATGATTCCCTACCGCATTAATAATAATTAATAATATAAGCTTAAAGTATTTATAATTACGAAATCGAATTTAGTTAGGTTCTCTTTACTCTTGAATTTGTAGTTATTTAAATGTGAATAAAAATTATAGTTTTTTAGTAGTGTTATTTTATTTTTTGAAATTAAATTTAGAAAGCCCTGTTATGAACCAGTACTTGTTTTGTTGAGACTTTACCAAAGTTATAATTTACGTGGTTTTTTATTAAGTTTTTATAGTAAACATCAGGAGTTACCAGGTGAACACATGTCGTATACTTTCCTCGTAACTCCAGTTTTTTACAAAAAATATACAGAAAACCATGTATCTCCATTAAAATTTTAATGAAATTAAAATGGGCTACGAACACTATTATTACAATGTCAACCAACATACAGAATATATCTATTGAAAAAATGTTTAAAGATTACATATAATAAAATAGATAGAAAGTTTTTATTATCTCCTGTAAAATTTTTGATTTTGGAGATACGAGGTTTGCGAATTAGGGTAACGATATATTAAATAGGCATTTTTTAAATCTGAGTCACTGAATCATATGAGATCTATTATCATACTTTATATTATAGATACATGATTTACTATTTTATGTTTATATTGTACTGATATATTTGTTATACCTATATGGAAATGTTATATTAATAAACTGGATATTAAACATTCCAAAATTTCTCATAAAAATCTATGCAAATAACAATTTACAACTATACACTCGTTTTACTGTATGACATCTCACCTAAACATACATACGTGACTGAAACATAATAAATAAACAATTTTCAACGATATATTAAATAATAATCGTATAAAATTCATTTAAAAATCTAATTAAAAAACAAATAAAATAGGTCCTAACCTAAAATGATTTTCCTTCGACTAGCATGGGGCTCTTCTGTATAAGACCACTCAAAATCAGTTCTAGAGACATGTTGTCCCATGGCACTTAATTTCACAAACAGCAAACTAATATAATCGAACGTTTTCTATAAATTTTAGGCACTTAACTGCCCGGCTTTACAAATTTGGATCCATTTTCGTGTATTTTTAGAATGAAAAACTGACGTACGTGACGTGATACGTGCCATATGAGATGACGTGATGTGATTTTTGTATTATGTGGTGTTGCCAAATCATGTAGGTCGTCCTCTTTGGTCGTCCTTAATCATTTTTAATTCACAAAATTTAATATCAATTAATAAGGAAAAAAATATTGAAAGTCTAGTTCGTCTGTTCTTTTGTATGAAAAATATGTGCAATAAGATCTAATGACAATAAACTTTGGAAGTTATGGAATTATTTAGATTTTCTGCTATTTTGGACTTGAGAAATTTTTTCAGAAATTAAAAAAAGTAACAACGAGGCCCCGGCGAGATTCGAACTCGCGATCTCCTGTTTACTAGACAGGCGCTTTAACCAACTAAGCCACGGCGCCGTTGAAAGCTCTTTTCTTCAGACCCGAAATCAACCTTCCCGGCAAAATCATAATATTATTTAAAATTTCATATATCTAAAAAAGTATTAACTTACTTTTCATAATTAGTAAATGATTAATAATTAATTTGTTAATAAAAGAAAAATAAAAATATCCTGTAAATCTATACTAAACAATAATAGTGTTATGGTATTTAATTTTTTCTACACTTCTTAAAGTATTTATGGTGCTCATAAAAAGAGATATGAAATAAGTACATTTATAATAAATACACAAAGTAAATAAGATCTTATGACTTTCGTTAATAAAATAGAAAATTAAAATATATTTAATTTTATTTTGAAAACCCCCCTCCTTCAATTTAACAGCTGAGTTGAAAAAAGACAGAAGAAATGACAGAAATCAGTGACATATCAACATGAGTAATTTCATAACAATTTGGAATAAAGCTTTTTAAAAATGTAATTTATTAATTAGAGTAGTTTTTCAATTAAGCATGATCGATAGGATGACGCCCTTTCGCAGGAAGAAATGTGGAAAATCCTTTCCGGTAAAAGTGTGCACTTTGGATGCAGAATTGGAGTTCAACTTGGAGGTCTGGATGGTTTTCTGTTTACTAATTTGTTTACGTCTCTTTTTCACTTAATTACCTTTGTTTCGTTTCGTATATGATGTGTGCCCTATTGTTTAAAACGAGGATCTAATTATTTTAGTATAATTTTGTTTCGGAACTCATTGGAGCTTGTTTTTATTCTTACAGTGGCGAGCTACAGGGAGAGATCTTTTTGAATTAGTTTGCCGAACGATTGGTTTGAGAGAAACATGGTATTTTGGATTACAGTTTGAAGATTCAAAAGGATTCATATCTTGGTTAAAATTAGACAAAAAAGGTAAAAATTTATCATAGACATTTGAATAAACCGTTGTATATAATTTTTTTTTTAGTTCAAGACCAAAGTATACAAAAGAACCACCAAACAGCTTCGTTTATGTTTCTAGCTAAGTTTTATCCAGAAGAAGTTGCAGAAGAGTTAGTACAAGAAGTAACGCAACATTTATTTTTTTTACAAGTTAAGCAGGCTATTTTATCTATGGATATATATTGTCCACCTGAAGCTTCCGTGTTACTAGCGAGCTATGCAGTTCAAGCTAAAGTACAGTTATGGCATGATACATAAAACATTCTTGAATAAAATAAATTTAATACCTTAGTTTGGTGATTTCGATGAAGACACGTACAAGCCTGGAATGCTGGCGAGTGAGGACTTGCTGCCCCAACGTGTAATTGATCAGTACCAAATGACGCTCGAAATGTGGGAGGAAAGAATCAGGGTATGGTATGCCGATCACAGAGGTATGTCTCGAGACGAGGCAGAAATGGAATACCTCAAAATAGCGCAAGATTTAGATATGTACGGTGTAAATTATTTTCCTATTCAGGTAACTTTAATGTTGTTATATTAGAAAAATACCAAAAAACAATTAACTTTTAGAACAAAAAAGAGACTGAGTTATGGTTAGGTGTAACTGCTCTAGGACTAAATATATACGAAAAAGAAAACAAACTACAACCAAAAACCACATTTACGTGGAGTGAGATCAGACATATTAGCTTCGACGACAAGAAATTTATTATTAAGGCTGTGGATAAAAGTTCTCCTAATTTCGTTTTTATTAGCCAAAAAGTCAGAATGAACAAATTGGTAAGTATAATTTGATTTATTTTTTTGGAATCTTTTTAGTGTTGTATTAAATTTTGAGATATTGGATTTGTGTATGGGAAATCACGATCTTTTTATGAGGAGAAGAAAGCCAGATTCAATGGAACTTCAACAAATGAAAGCTGCAGCCAAAGAAGAAAAACAGAGAAGACAAGTTCAAAGAAATCGGTGAGTTGATATGTAAAAAATAGAACAAACTTTATTGATGATAACTTTATTGGTGTATCTTTCTGCCTGGACACCGAGTATTAACTATAAACTGTGCTCTGGGTCTACAGTTAATTTTCACTCGATTTTTCCTCCACTTGACTTCAAAAGACACAAAACACACGTAATAACATGAATCAAAATGCATCATCTTCCAAAACACAGGGTATTTGACAAAAGTTGACACAAAATTATAACCTATAATTTGGCAAGACTTTGACAAGCGTCAAAAATCTAAAGGCGAGTTCATACGCATCGGCGTCCGTTTGTCGTTTATCGTTCCGTCAAACCAATAAAATTGAAATACGATCTGTCATTTTTGAAATAAACCAATAAAACTGGTTAAAAACAACAAGAGACGACGCATGACGGATTTGTATTTAAACTAATCCATAGTTAACTTAAAAATTATTAGAGACTTTTTTAGTAAAATCTTTGCCTAAAATAAATAGATTGGTATGGGACGTCATCTGCTTTTTTTCTGTCATTGTCTGTCGAAATCTTACCTGAGAAAAAAAAACAGAGTATAATATATGCCACGATCCACAATAGTTTTTGCAGTTCACACAGCTTTTTATGTTTTTAATGTCACTTTTTCACAATTATCACAGGTTTCAGTAAATTAAATTTAAATTAAACTCACAAGATAGCAATAATTACTTTGAAAATGGACCCGGTATTTTTTGAATGAGGGCGGTGTAAATTTTAAAAGATTTTATAGTTTTATAATTGAAGGTGCCCCGTAGCGTAGAGGTACAGGCTCTCGTCTACCAATCTCAAGGTAGTTGAGGTTCGAATCCCACACCCGGCATATCATCTGCCGACTATTTTAATTTTAAATAAAAATAGTTTGGGTACCTAGGGCGACTCAGCCTTAGAAATGAGTACTTGGGATTCACGATCCTGAGGTAATAATAAGCGGTTGAAGCGTAGTGCTAGCCACATTACCTTCCTTGTATGCCGAACGGCTCTAGTATGGCAAGCTGTACCTTGCTACTCCCAAGGCGTTAAACGCTATATACGGGAGCTATTATTATTATAATTGAAGATTCTTACTTTGACAAGAGAAAATTATTTCTGTTTTTGTTTGCGGTTGTCCTTAGCAAAATAATTTAATAATAAAATGTATATTAAATTAGATTAGCAAGAGAGAAACAACTAAGGGAAGAAGCAGAAAGAGACAGGGCTAATATGGAGCAAAGACTGTTACAGTACCAAGAAGAAATAAGGCTTGCTAACGAGGCTCTTGTAAATATTAATATTATAAGTGTTTATGGTATTTTACTGGCAATTTCCTATTTTAGAGAAGGTCAGAAGAAAGTGCCGATCTATTGGCGGAAAAAAGTAGAGTTGCTGAAGAGGAAGCGCGATTGCTGAGTCAAAAAGCAGCAGAAGCGGAACAGGAAATTACTAGGTTAAGGTTAACTGCCATGCGAAAAGATGAAGAAAAGGTATAATAACATTTTTCTTTCTCGGTGTTTTGGATTTTTAATTAAACTGTTTATTAGGGTGGGTCAAAAAAATCGACTATTTTTTCACTTTATACTCTAAAATAAAGGTTGGTAGACACTTTTAAAAAATTCTCTCCAAGTATGAACTCTTAATTTTTATTAGGAAGGCCCTCCGCCTTTCAGTTTTCTATTTTTTTCCTTATTATTAGAAAGAAAAATTCATATCTCGGTATTTACTATTTCGAAAAAACATCTCATATGTATATTGGTAGGAAATTTAATTCTCTACAAAAAAAGTCTCTTACATTTTTTTTATAAACCTCACCGTTCGAAAGTTATTAAAGGTTGAAGTTTGATTATTTTAGGGATGAATTTTATAACTCGTTAACAAAAAATCATTATGATACGCATAACTCATGGTTAATTTTGCAGGAAATTCACTGATCTACAAAAATGGTTTCTTATGATTAGTCGATTAAATTAACCGTTTAAAAGATATTCATCGTTAAACTTCAATGCATAATAATTTCTACAGTTTTTGATTAATAATTCAAACAATTCCAATGTATTTTATGAGTTTCGGGAAAATTTGTACAAATTTGAGTTTCTATGAACAAAGAAATATTTTAAACTTTTTTTCTAGTTTTCTTTTAGTCCTAAGCAGGGTTGACATGATTTAAATCAAATGATTTAAATCATGATTTAAATCGCGATTTAAATCAAGTGATTTTTTAAATTTTAAACATGTGATTTAAATAAAAAAAATTATTGAAACTATAGAGGCATCGAAACGTCGTCATAAAATAAAATAATGAACAAAATCTAGAAACATCTTTGCAATTCCAACGACCTAAAGCCAAGAGTAAAAACAAAAAATATATAGTATACAGGTCAAAGAAACGAAACAAAAAAAATATCATGATATATATCAATGATATATATCCGATATATATCATTGAATATATCATGCCAACCCTGATACTTGGAGAGAATTTTTTGAGGTGTCTAACAACCTTTTTTTCTGAGTATAAATAGAAAAAAAATATTGGATTTTTTGACCCACCCTACTATTTATAATACCTGGTCCGTCTCAAAAGTGGCTCATCCCTAAATCCCTATAACTTTTTTATTTTTTCAGATAAAAAATCGAGATTTGGTATTAATATATGACAGAAATTAGGATTGATTGACGTATTCAATTGTTTTCTGTCACTGTTTCACGGGAAATGACTACAACTTTTGATTTTTAAACAGTACCCTCGGTGTTTTGTTGCTTTATTCGATAGAAAATGACACTCTGAATAGAATGACATATAAAGGTGCGTTCACACCGTCTGCGCCGCGCCGCGCAAATAATTTTTTTTAACATATGAACGCACCTTCATATGTCAACTTTTGACATTTTCGAATATGGTTTATTTGAAATTGCAACATGCGATTCATAACGATTTGACTCGAAATACCAAGTGTGTGGTATCAAATTATTCGTAAAAAAATGCTTTTTCCCATTATGCCAATGAGCCTCGTTCCATTTGAGAAAATTAAGATATGATTAAAAATACGATTTGGACATCTTTTAATCGGCCAGGATAAGACACGAATAACATTAGACATTAGACGATCAAATTATCCTAGGTTTCTATTTTATTAGATTAAAAATTAGTGTTTTTAACACAGCCATGGCACTCTAGATTGAAATTTAAAATTCAATTTTGTTTTAAGCAAAAATGTCAAAAGTTGACATGATATGTCATTTTCTATCGAATAAAGTAAAAAAATACCGATGGTGCTATTTAAAAATCTAAAGTTGTAGTAATTTCCAGGGAAACCGGAAGTGGCCGAAAAGAATTGAATACGTCAATCAATCCTAATTTGTCATAAATATACTAACATACCAAATCTCTTTTTTTTTTATCTGATAAACCACTTTTGAGACGCGCCCGGTATAATAACTGTTTAGAATTTTCATTGTAAATTTGACTAAAAATTTCTCCGTTGCGTTTTTTTGTTATTTGTTTTATTAAGATAACTATCCCATTTGTTGCTATTTTTCTGGCATTTTTCTGTTATAAAGGTTACCCTGGAAAGAAAAACGAGAGAGGCTGAAATGCTGACTGCCAGATTAGTCGAGGAATCGGAGAGACGAGCGGCCGAAGCTAATAAACTCAAAGACGAATTATTAAAGGCTCGCGCAGCCGAAAAACAAGCCAAAGAAAAACTGTTGGACTTTCTAAGTCGCAGTTCCAATTACAATGGATCCACACCAGCATCACCAATTTCAGTAAGTTTATTAAGTACATACAATATAAACGAAAAAAATTGCGTCATAGTGGTCTTTGAAATAAAAAATCTATGGTAATTTGGATGGAAATTTAATCATTTACACCTAAATCCTTCCGGTAAAAAAAATATTTTTGGAAATTGGTTTGTGTGTGGAATCGCTCGTTTCCTGTCATTTCAAAGGCGACTGTGACACTGTTTTTTATCATTAGGTATTATTAATCTAGTATTTTATTTTTACAGTCTGTTACAACGTTATATTCTGGTCCTTTATCGCCAAACAACGCTCACTCTGAATATTCACTGTTAGAAAGTGAATCGACATCACCAGATTTTAATTTGAATATAAATTCATATGATCTTATAGCTCACGGAGATGCCGAACAATTATCTTTAGAAATAGAAAAAGAGAGGTAACAAACTTTACTACTTACTACATGATCTTGATGATTTTTTTTTCTCTATTTCCGCATTTCAACTTTTTTTCTGTATTTTTAATCCTTAACATTATGATATTCTTTAACACACCCATCAGTGTGTCATATAAACAGAAAAAAATGTTCTATTTTGTTATTTATGTCTTAATAAAAGTTTCTTATTATGGTACATATGAACTACTAGATATTAAAAGCAATATAGACCTGGAAGACTCTATCTATACTTTGGAATGGGAATCCTCCAATGGTCTAAAGTTTGATTTTGATGCATCCGTTATCCGTTGATACCAAAGGTTAATACGATGGTCCGACGCGACGGCGCTCTGATTGGTCATAGCGTTTTCGCGCCACTTTTCGTCCGTAAATGTTTTACTCCAGCCCGTCAGCGGAGAACGATCGTACGATAATCTTTGAATAAGAAGACTAAGGAAGGAGCATAATGCTATCCATGTATTCATGCATGGTGGGCGGAAAAGGCACCATAAAAACTCTCTAGGGTGGGGATCCTTGACAGTTCTGTTTGACGATTCATTTGACACATTTGAATTTGATTTGAAATTTTGTGGATTTGTCAGTCTTTACGGAGCTTATTTTATGTTATTTATTATTTATTCTACTACTAATAGTTGTATAAAGGTAGTAAATCTAGATGGAAATTGTGGCAGAACTTAAATTAACAGTGACACTATCGCGATTTATCGAAAAAGACTCTAAAATAGTTGGTTGTGTAGCGTGCGGTAAAATCTCGGCAAAAACTGAGTGAAATAATGGAACAACTTTTCGCTAGTAAGTGACTATATAATATACTTACGTGTAGTAAACCGATCATTTATGAAATTCACTTAAATTAACTAAATTATATATTTTTCTTGCATTTTAGCTTTTATTTATTACTGTCAAAGATTAGATGTCAAAGAATTTAGATACGCTAATTTGACTTACCTGCTTCAGTAGCGTATCGGATGTTTGTGTTAATAAATACTTATTATAACTTATCTATTTTTATTAGAATTATATATTTTTATAACAATTTAATAACTACCAACATTTATTCACAACGTAAAATAAAACAACAAATTATTGAGTCTACCCCACGTCTACCCTACATCATAGTTTTACATTTTTTAAATAAAATTAGAACGACACTGATAAACCGGAATTTAAGTCGGCCATATTTGAGGCCCATCGCGGTGTACCTAAGATTTTTGATATGCTCCTTCCTTAGTCTTCTTATTCAAAGACGATAATAGACGATTTGACACTTTAAATTTAATCTAACCTTAATAAAAATATAATAGTACAAGAGCTAGCAAAGTCGGGAAAAAGAGGATTTTATGAAAGCTGGTTCTTTAATATATCTTTTGCTATGCTCTCCTGACCAAAGTGCGGGCCGTCTGGCTGCCGGTAGACTACTGCGGTTCACTATTGCGCATCACATCTGTACAGGGTATCCTATTTTCGTGTGTTTTATGGGATTTCTCATTTATGAGTAGATATACAATGTGCGATTTTCACATTGTTTACTACTTTTTTATGAAACTAAATATGCTCCACATATGTTTGTCCTAGCCTTCTTAGTTCTTGAAATACAGGGCGAATTTGTGATGCGCAATAGTGAACAAATGTTGAATACAGATATGATGCGCGGTAGTGAACACAACGTCCACCGACAGCCAGACGGTCCACACTCTGTTCAGAAGATCATAGCAAAAAATATATTAAAGAATCAGTTTTCTTAAAATTCTCTCGCGACAACGTTGCTAGCGTTATGGAAATGAAAATATAAAATGCCACCAATCACAAGCAAATCGTATATCCAACAAAATTAATATCGTATCGTCGGATGACGGATGCGTGAAACGCTCTAACGTTGCTCAGGGCATCAAAGTCCTGAGAAAGGAGAAACAGGACACAAGTGTATAAATCTGGAATTAAGATGAGAACTTGAATTAGAGGTGGATTTTTGTGAATCTTCGAACATAGTTACTAACAATTATAAAATTCATTTTAGAGTTAATTAATTGTTGGTGTTCTTGCACTTTCCGATTTATTTACTACTTGTTAAAAATAATTAGAATATAAAAATATACAAGGACGGAAAAGCAGTCATTTCCTGACATTTGCACTTATTTATTTACATCCTGTATCATGTAATTGTATTTTTTTCCAGAGTGGAATATCTTGAAAAATCAAAACACCTCCAAAATCAACTTAAAGAATTGCGTACAGAGATAGCTGTTCTAAAAGTGACGGAAAAAGCGACCGATTTTGATCAGTTGCACGAAGAGCAAGTGAAGTCTGGCGAAAACAAGTATTCAACGCTCAAGAAAAGCAAGAGTGGAAGTACCAAAAGTCGCGTGGCCTTCTTCGAAGAATTGTAAATAAATAAAGTAAAACAAGGTATAAGGTAGAATTATATCTTTTCGAGATGCAGCGATCATAGAAATTAAATTTGAATTGCTTCTCTATAGATCATACCAAATAAACTCTTAGTTGAGTGATTAAGCTTGACCGACACAGCGTTGCCCACTTTTACATATTTTCTTTCAATCAAAGTAGTTTAGGAAACAAAAATGAATTACTTATAAATATATAAACAGTTATTATTTACATCAACAAATCTCACCTCCTTAACAGCACTTAAGAGACATAAGGGGCCATTATATTACAGATTTCCCATTCAAAATGTTCTAATAAGGCTGTAATGAGTTTTTTGCAACGACTGTTAAGCTGCTTCGCCATCTTGTATACCTCGCACTACAAGCGGTTTAAAAAAAACTATTTGCGACTGCAAGGTCTGCTAGTAAAAAAAATTAAGCTTAAATTATCTCAACACAATTCACTTGAATCAAAAACTCGTAATGCAAAACTTAGTGTCAAAACGAATCAAAATATCAGGAAATAAATAAATAAATATGGCAACGTGACAATTTTTAGAGCAGAGCTACCACCTGAATCGCCAGCGGGCAATGTAAATTCCAGTTAGCCACCCCAGCGTCGAATATGTCCATGGTTGGCAACAATGAATTAAATAACCGCGCCCTCGATGACGTAACTAAAAGTTTATTTGGTATTGCTTATATATGGATATTATCTAAACCTATTAGTAAAATAAGTGAGGTTCGATCTCATAGAGTATACAGTGCGTTCAAGATATTATTTGAACGTATAAGCTAAACTTTAGCTTGGGATATGAAAAGAAGGCGCTTGGATCTAAATCGGGTGAATATGGACACTGATGTAGCAGTTTAAACTCTATATCATGACTACCTAGAGTGTGTTGTGAACGGGAGGCACTTTTTGAGTTGTCACGTTGCTCTCTTGAATGTCTATCATCCCTGCAGCTCGAAAAACCAAACTATATTGTATATACTATTTTTATACAACTTAGAATAAGTCTGTTGTTCCGATAACGTTATTTGAACGTAAAATTATATTGTTATAAGCTTCTGTTTCGAATTTATACAATAATTATTGGGCGTTCTTAAAACAGGGCCTGCGTTTTTTATACAAATATTAAATCTTTTTATTTTACTCTATATTATCGGTTTTAAAATTTATCTCTTTATCTTCGGTAGGATTGTAGAAAAAATCTAACATTTTTTTAGATGGCTTTTAGTCTGATTGTTAAGCTAAAATAACTATTGTTTGATAAAGATGGTTTATTAATTATTTTATGCTTGAAGTTTTTATAATTTTAAGGAAAAAAGCACTTGTTGAAAATAAATATAAAAGACAGGTTTTATTGAAAATTTAGTTATTTAAGCAGATAACAAAGTTAATACATTTTCTAATACGATGTTTGTTGGTTTTATTTTTTGTCAATATACAGGGTGGTCCGAAAATGAGTGAAAAAATATATATTTCCGTGATTTTTTACATAAAGAATGTCTTTTGGTAAAAATCGCTAAGAGCAACAGGTCTCAAGATATTTAGAATAAAAATAGTCACTACATGTCATTATTGACAAACAATATACATGTTGCGTACATAGTTATTTGGCTGAAATAATAAATTTGTGAACTTTTTTTTTAAATTAATCATAAATTTTCCTTCGAAAAAATGATAAAACAGTTTCTATTGAACTTTTGGCACAAAAATATTTCAAATCTATGATTTTAATCTAATAATTATTTAGCCAACATGTTTAATTTATTTTTAATGATGACAGGTATTGATAATTTCGATTAAAAATATATCAGGAACCATTACTCGGTAGGGATTTTTACCGAAGAGACCTTTTTGACTTAAAAATCGTCGTGAATGTATACTTTTTTATTTAATAGTTTTATACAGGTACGGACGAAAAGTTATTATTCTTCAAACCAGTTAAAACATATGTAGGTGGCACCCTCATCTACAAGTAGGAGTCATATGGACATTTTCAACCAAATATTGATGTTACTTCCGAAATTATTTGGAAAAAAATCCAAATAAAAATGAAACTTCTACACGCTGTATCTCTGAAACTAAGCATTTTAGGACATACAGTTATACAAACTTTTTTACTTATTTTTATCTGCAGACTATGCTGCCGAAGTTTCCGGAATACAGTTCGGACCACCCTGTATACATGAAAATTTTGATATATAATTAAATAAGAATGACTTCTTAAAAAATAAAATAAGGTAAGTAACTCAATTGCTGGGCAAAAACTTTAAATAGGAGGTTTGTTCCAACATAGCAGAGAACCGGTACGGTTACGCTTATGAGTAGTAGAGAAAATTCCAACGAAAAAATCGTTTGGCTAACGATAACTTTTTCGTTCCAATCATAATTTTAATCGTTCGTGAACTGGATTCAGAATGGTGATTTTGACCACAAGTCAAAAATCTGACCTGCGTATTAAGCTGTGTGTCAACTGATTATTGTTTTTCTTCTATTTCTTTAGCTATTTTCGCTTTTTAATTAGCTGATTCCTCAAGTTTTATTTGGTTTTTATACATATTTCAAATAAAGATTTTAATATTTTTGTACTAAATATGATGAGTGACGAAGAGGACAGCGATGTTGAGTTTGTAGATACCACTGAAGATGATTTGAGACTTTTGTTAAATAAAGTAAAGGTGATAATCGCAATAAAAAAAGTAGGCACGTATAGCAGCCCATACTAAAATATGTTAATAAAAAGTTGGTAGGCAGTTCTTTTAGTTTCAAAGTAAAGGAATTTTTCCAAATTTTTTTTTATCTCAAAAACTGCGACTTTGATTTTGATGTTATTACAAATTTTGTTGCAAATATTATTCCTAATCTTAAATTGAAAACCGCGTTTCGCTAGCTACTGTAATTTTGAAGTTACGATTTTTTAAAAGTTTTAACTCCCTCCCATACCCCCTTACCAACCCCCCACCCCCACCAAGAACTAATGGCCAGATTCTCTGGTGCCACAGTATTTTTGTGCCAAATTTGGTTAAAATCGGTTTAGCGATTTTTGAGTTATCGTGTTACAGACAGACGGACAGACACCATGAAAATATGTTGTATTTAGGTCATTTATGACCCAATAACTCATTTTCAGTGAAATTAAAAAAACTTTTTTTTTGCCGATCTTAATAGCCTACCATACCTGTTGGTATGGTCGGCTAATAAATTTAATAATCCATAAATCAATCCAATAAAAATTTATATCGAAAATATCTAACCTATATTAATAATTAAAAATTAGGTTATGAATTGAATTCTAAAATCAGCTCAAAACCTGTCCCAATCCACATTTAATTTTAATAAAGTAACCACAAAGTAACAGAACTCTCCAAGTCGACACATACCATTCTAGAACGATACAAAATTCTGTTTTGGAACCAACCTAAGAAAACGTTCTCTATCCTTTTGTATATTCACCTCTATTTCTAATTACCTTAGGCTCCTCCCCTAGGGGCATGAGCCTATAATATGACATGCTAATTAAAATAGTTGTAATCTATGATTTTAAATAAAGAATCAATTTAAAACATGAAAACGTTATATTGCAAAAAAATGTAAAATTAGTAAAAAGATATTAATTATTACAAGAAAATATAACCCTATTTAAACAATATTAATATATATTAAATAAATTACTATGTAAAAAATAAAAAGTATTTTAAGTAGCTAATAGATGACTACAGACCAAGGGATAAAAGTCTGCTGAATATACTTGGCCAAGACAAATATTGTGATCACAGATAGTTAGTTAATAGATCTGAAATCCCTTGGTGTGTATATAAATATTAAAAATTAAGTAATACAATTCGGTTTTCAATACCACTTAACAACTAATAAATACGATATTTCAGCAGATTGTTTTTGGAATTTTTGCACAGCAAGTAGATTCCCGCTAAACATCTAAGGAAAATATACCGTACGAGCAAAAAAAAACGACGTCAAAGTGAAGATCGCTAACATTTTATAAGTCGAATCTATCATTCGTTAGTACCTATCCAACTTGATGTCGTTTTTTTTCTATCGTTCGGTATCTACTAACATTGGCTAACATGACGAGTATATTGGACATTGGGAACTTTGTCTAAACAACTCAAATTTATAAACTTAATACTATTAATGAACTTAATTAGAAGGGGAGACATATAAGTAAAATGTCATTAGTAGGATCACTCTCAAAAAAATAACGAGTATTAGCACCTAAATAAAGTTATACCTATAAAAATAATAAACTAGGCTACATAATGTGTTTAAACGAAAAAAAAATAATCTCTTCTTTGGTACTTGGTAAGGGATATAACCGTGTTTAAGTTTTTTTTCTTTTTTAAATAAAACTAAAAAGTTTTATTTCTTATTCGTAAATGATTTGAAATATTTTGTTGTATCTTAAAAATCACTTTTCTAATCACTTTATGCCCTAGCAAACAAGAGGTGCACCTACATATTTTTGTTCGAAACTCTAGTTCAAATTTTCATTATAGTTTATTTAGCAAAAGAATGTATGACAGTCAGTTGTCACAGGTCAACATCATATATTCTCTTGCCACACATAGCATAGATTATTAATAATTGTATTTTATTCTACTATCTAATCTAAAAATATATTTTTCACGCTTTCTAAATGTTTAAATATCTAAAAATTGTTACAAAATCTATAAATCTTAATTATTAACCTAGCCATAATATTTCCAACTAGCAATAATACCACGCATTAAGAAACAGAGATCTAAAAATGACATATAAATGACATTTGGATCAACACAAATGCATCTAACGAGACTATAGATCTATTACAAAGAGAAAGAAAAATAGACGCTTAATAAGTACAGATTAATTCATCAATGGAAGTTGCTTAATCTATTTTTTCCTTAATAAAAAGTTCTATAGAATCAATCAAACTTTGAATAATGACAGATAAACAAAAACTGTCAATATTCAGAGCCTTATTGATCATGCATATTTATTTCAATTACTTATTTATAATGTCGAAAACTTCATGAATATGAAGAATAATCAACCATAAATGGACACAGATAGTGTTTAAATCTTTCAAATTACATAAGATCATAACTCATACATTTTTCACACTTTCCCTGTGCTGTAACAATAACTAGTAACTGTAACTATTCAATGTTAAGTACAAACTAACCAACAAAATGCCAATTGAAATACTAATTAATCCCAAAAAGTTATCTGAAATATTTCATTAGATGGTCTGTATTTACATTTAATATCCTCAATCGAAACGGACAACTGCCAATTATCACGAATGATTTTCCTTTCTAAGAAAAAAACCTAGCACATAAAACCAATCTATGATTAAACTGTCACCTAAACCCTAAAGAAACGCCTAAACATGTAAAAAACTCCTTATCTCACCTGATCACGTCCAAATTATTCAATTCTACGCGCCAACAATCGTCGCTTCCGCCATCTGGAGGACTTTTGCTAATACCGAACGCGTTAAACTGCGAGTACGCCACGCCGGGGGAGTGGTCAAAGTCCGTGACGTGCTCGGCGTTTACCGCCCGGGCAGGGGAAGTGGGCGTGACCACAACAGTCACGCCCACATCGTCGAAGGGTATATCGGGAATATTCAGCTGGGAACTGGCCATATCGTAGCTGCTCTGGTTGTTGCTGAGCGACTTAAACGTGTCACTTCTTGAGGGTGTGGGAAAACTAGAAAAATCCAGATTTTCTTCGGAAAAATATCCAGTTTCGTGGTTGACTAAAGAGGGTCTATGCGCGTAATGATTGGGGGTGTTGTACTGATGGTTTGGAGTAGTAAATGCAGAATTTGGACAGGAATTTAAGTCATTACTGCTTTCGTAAAGCTTGTTCAGAACGTGATTCTTATCGAACTTAGTGTCTGTTTCTACTACAATCTCCGCATGGCATTCTGGCATGGGGTTGAGTGGGCTAGCTGCGCTTTTAAAGTCTGACGTAAGTACCGGCCACTTGACGTCTCGTTTCAGATCCCTTTCTATAGCGAGGTACTTCTTTTTAGACTTGTCAACGTTATGGTACTTAAAACGCAATTTCTTAAAAACTAAATTCTCCACAAAGAAATGCTCTACTAATATGCTGACGACAAAATTACCTGCGGCATATGCCAAGAGATACAGACGAAAATTCATATCTTCAGGTAGAGCTAGTTCAAAACTATCTAACAAGAAATTGGCAGGATAAACAGCTAAATACACGGAAAATGCAGTCATGAAAATAGCTGAAATTATAAACCCAAAATTCGAAAATATTGATTTGCGATACGGATAACCCTTCGAAAATGCAATAGCGAGAATGATATATTGAAAAGAAGAAACGGTAAAAACGGTATAGTTCTCGACACAAGCAACCTCGTCTGGATCAGTCATATTAAAGGGTTCATACCATGGTTCTGATTTGAGATGCACAAATGCCGATACTTGAAACAACACGACAAACAACATCTGTAAAGAAAGAGACAACAGAGGCGAGAAACTTATCAAACTACTCAACGGTGTCTGTTTGTGTAATTTTCCAGAATAAGCTTCCGTTTTGCCGAAGAAAAATGCAAAAATCGAAATTATCGCTAAATCGATATAAAGGAACTCCATATCAGTCAAGTTTGATTGAATGGAATATAGTATAAGCACAGAAACGAATTGACATAGAGAATATCCGGCCATGTATTTGAAAATGCCGAAACTAGTAACTAGAGCCGCTCTGCCTTCGCGGATAACGTTAAGTACGCAACTGATGTTGGGGATTTTAGAGGTGAAGGGTGAGGCAACGCTGGATTCTGCGTCTGATAAAGAAATGCCGGTGTGGGCGGCTTTGAGAGCTCCACAGTCGTTTGCACCATCTCCGCACATCGCTACAACAAAAGAAAATGTTTAAATATGCATCAAAAATTCATTAATGAATATTATGACTTACCCACGACATATCCTAGGCTTTGTAGCTCGTGGATAAGCTGCTGTTTTTGTTCTGGAGCCATTCTTGCGAACACAGCTCCTGAAAGAACGTAATTTAGTCAGTTAACCTTCAAATAACAGTTAAGCCTCAGAATTATCTAACCATTTAAGTGAGTTTATTCATATTTTTACGCTATAGGTGATATTTTTAGGCTATAATTTCAATGACGATTAATATCGAATTTTAATCATTCATGGTTAATCGGAGATGACGAATATAATATGTGAAATAAAAACGTAATGTAAAAAACTAGTTTTTTACGTGTAAAATTAATTTTATGAGAAATAAAAAAAAACTTTTCCACATTAGTAAAGCTTTTGTAAAAACGCTGTTCTGTCTATTGCAAAAAATGAATTTATTTCCTTATATTTGGTATTTCTATTAATATTATCTCTTTCAATTTGAGTAGAAATCAAAATGTATGCCAAAATAATTCAAAGTACAGGTTGGGAAGGAAGAGAAATGCAATTTTTCCTTTTTTTAACCTGTATTTTTACATTAAAACGTAAAAATTGTCAACACAGACAGATGCTTAAATTCCCATGCCTGGTCAATATTCTATTCCTCTTCTTGTTACTATTAAAACGTCAGAATAAGATAATAGCTATATAAAGAAATAATTTTTCTCAGTTTAGTTAAAAATTTTCTAGAAATTTGTTACAGTGTACAAAAGAGTTAAATTGTCAAAATATGTGACTTCAAGGTCCAAAAATTTGCCACACATACTTCAAAGGAGCCGCGCTTACTGTCGCTTCTATACAGCTAAAATATTTTTTTAGAATAAGTAACTTACCTCTAGTACAAATTCTTGGTAGCAATTCTGGATAATATTCCTTAAGGACACCCCAAGTCTTTCCTGTCATGGCGAATCGATAATTATTAAACAAACTGATTGGTCTCGCTACTCCATTTCCTGTCCCGACATTTTCCCTCACTGTAGTTGCTGTAATTGTCTGAAGCTGACTTTCTATTGTATCCAAACTGACTACGCTGACTGAATTTGATAGTATAGAATAATCTGAAATTTTTTTTTGAAAATCTGTTGAAAAATATCAAAAAACTTTTTCAAAGTCCCTGTATATTTAAGAAACTTAGTACAAATAGCTACACAGAAGTAGAATCGACATCTGAACTCTGACATTTCGATATTTTGTCATCTGACCAACTTTTTGACAATTTTGTTGCTTAAGAAATTCTGCACTTTTTTCAATAACTCAAAAATAAAATAAAAATCCATTTGTGGCGCACTTGGCTGCATTCCCTGTATATCCAGGAGTCTTTTATTATCAAACCCCTGTAACAAAAATAAAAATATTCCTACCTTTAGAGGGTTCTTTGACGTCTGTAAGGGTATAATACAAGTTAGGCGGTTGAGCAGTATCACTATTGACAGTTATGACACTCTGACCAGAACAAATGATTTCACAATGCCTGGCTACCGAAAGGGCTGTCAAAATATTGTCACCTGTTGAAAAAAGAAGCTTTCAGACTTGTATTTCAGTGGTTTCTATTTTAAGATTACCTGTAACCATTGTAACCCTGATGTTGGCGTTATTTAGAGCTTGAATACAGGAGGTAGTATCAGGTTTCAGTCTATTTTCGAAGACTAAAAGTCCTAAGAAGTTTAGATCTTTTTCTATGGACTCCCTTTGGACTTTTTGAACCTGAAAAATAAAGAATATTTAAACATCACAAAAAAAACTTACAAATATATATTATACTTTGGTATAGTTCAGCTTTAACTTTTTATGAGCTAAAGCAATCACCCTATAGCCTTCATGGGCGTATTTTTCAAGGACATCATGGAAATCTGGAGGCACGGTCTCTTTTTTAACCAGATCTAAGATTTTTTCGGGCGATCCTTTGCAATAATACTCAAAATGAGAACCGGTCAGTCTTCTGATAATAACGCCCATTCGTTGGGCGCTACTTGAAAATGGAAATTCCCTTAAAATACCTATTTCCAAATTGTCTTCTGATCCATGCCCTCTTGGAGGTTTTAGCACTGTCGGATAAATGATATCAAACTTGTTTGTGTCAGCTATATCGCCGTCATCGAGTGTCCAATCAGTTGATTGGAACATCTAAGAAAATCCATATTAGAAAATAAAACTTTAAAAGTAGTTGAGGTCTTACTTTTAAATCAAGAGGATCGCCTACAATATTCTTTTCTATAGTCGTTAAAGAATGACAACAGACTAGACCATATAAGAAAGTGTCGTAAGACAAAGTATTGACAGTAGTGACGGGTGATTTAAATGCAGCTTCTGAAACTGGTACGACGCAAAGTAGATCTAGACCATCTTCGGTTAGTGTTCCAGTCTAAAACAAATTGAATATTGTAAATAATTTAAAATTATTCTGCAGGTTTTAATGAATATAACCTTAACAAGAAAATATAAAAATAAAAATAGGTTTTACATAAAAAAAACTAGGTTTAGAAACAAAGAAGACAAATTTCTCAGTGTTTTTCAACAAAAAAAGACCACTTCAAGGGTCAAATGCTTTTGGTTAGTTACAGAAATTTGTGAACAAAAGCCACTGAAAATTTTCTCCCAGTTTTTTTATACAGACGGGTTATTATCTATCTTACTGTTGATGATTTATGATTATTTAATTATTGAAAAATAACAGTTTGACGAATAATTGTTAATCATCAATAACAGTACGTTTTTAATTTTACTGTTTTTGACAAAATGTTATTCCTAACTAACAGTTTGTCAACATAAACGTCAAAGACAGCTGGACAATGACGATGATAATTTTAGCGTCAAGCCCTAGCCTAGAGGTCATTAATTGGTTCGTGCTCTTCTTTATTCTTTAATAGCGCTTACTGCCAGTTGGCCTGAAGAAGGTTGTAATTTATTTTTATAATAAGTCTTCGATGCCGTTTTTTTTTCGATCCTACGTTATTAAAAAACTAACTAAATACAAGTGTATTTACCTTATCAAAGCATACACAGTTTATCCCACCAGAGACGTTGATACTTCTTGGAGAAATACAAAAAATCTGATTCTTTTTTAACCTAATTTGTGCGTAAAAGCTGCCCACAGTCATAGCTGCTGGAAGGGCAGGTGGAACCACAATAGTAATCAAGTCCAAGGCTTGGAAGATAATATCCCTAGCTGAAGTTCCTTTTATAATCTACAAAATCAAATAAATTGTTAATTTAATGAAATAAATGACATGTTTTATACATACTTTATCAATCACTGTATATATAAAACCGATTCCAGCAACGATCGCCAAAAATATTACGAATTTGTAGGAGTCTTTTTCAAAACGGAAATCTACAGGTGGAGGGTATAAAATACTTCTCACTAAGCTCCCTAAAAAAGAAAAACGTATTAATTAAAAACAGGCTATAGTCTGTCTCTTTGAATGTGGCAGACAAATTTCGGACGTCCATTGTCTTTATTTATTTTGATTTTTGATTAACACATTAAATGTTGAATTAAATAATATTAAAACGGAGTTGCTTTAGAATGGTTAGTCGAAGAAGTCCCTAGACAAAATTGTATCAAATGATAAAACTGACTCAATGGTTCATCAACCTGACTATTCCATATGTAAAAGGAACATCAGAAAAGATCTAACAAGAACAAGGCCGGAATCATTAACACATCTACCAGGTACCTTGTGAATGCGGTGAGCCATACATTGGAGAGTGGAGAGACTAAACGTCATGCGTCATCTAAATGTACGACTTAGCGAGCACAAAAAGCATGTACAAAAAGGTGAAACAATGAATAAGTCAGGTATTGGGGACCATGTGTGATTTGTATACAATATTATATGTATATATATATTAACCTAATAGGACTGCTCATTCAGCCAAAAGTGTCCGCCAGGTGCATGCGAAAACTACTCGCTTTGTGACGTCATTGTAGTCCTTGTCATGGTTATTAGTCCTTATCCGGCAACCAATAATACATACACGTGCATTATTGGTTGCCGAATGCAAAACGTTCATTATTTAGTTTATTTATTTAAACACCTTATATGTATGCAGTATAGAAAATTTAACCTAATAGGACTGCTCATTCAGCCAAAAGTGTCCGCCAGGTGCATGCGAAAACTACTCGCTACTCGTCATTGTAGTCCCTTGTCATGGTTATTAGTCCTTATCCGGCAACCAATAATACATACACGTGCATTATTGGTTGCCGAATCTAAACGTTCATTATTTAGTTTATTTATTTAAACACCTTATATGTATGCAGTATAGAAAATTAACTGTATAAATCGTGTTAAATACTCGGATAATGCATTATTAAGAACAGCAGTTCCCAGCATCACCTTTTGCAAGCATTCTTTTTAGAGTACTTCCATATTTTGCTTTAAAATAATTAATAAACAAAATCGTGGGCACTTAGTATGCACTTTGTCACAATCCACAACACAAAATGAACGTATTTATACACTCTATAGCTCTAAAACTTTAAAGACACCTTTTTCACATTTAAAATTGACAAAATAATTAACTCAAAATTTCTCAGCTGTTATTTTTATAAGTTTACCATAGGCAACTAATAATACACACTATCATGACAAGGCCACGAAGGCTTTGGTAAGGACTACAATGACGTCACAACTGTCAGCTGAAGCGCGGGAAGAGGCGAACGTACGTCTTATGGGGATGAGCAATCCTATTAGTTTACCGTTCTTGGGCTGCACCCAACTTTTTCACGGTTTAATTTTTTCTGGCTATAGTATAAAAATACTCTGTAGATTTACGAATTAGATTAGTTTACACTTGATAACGATATTCAAAATAAATAAAGACAATGAAAGTCCTTTAGTTTCAGGCTATAGACTATCTATTATTATATTTGACAATTGACTAAAGTAAAATATTTCGGCATTGAAATTAAAATTAAACAGTTAGTAAGGAATTGAAATTGATTTTGGATAATGAACTCCATGATATACAGTGTTCTACATAAATTCTCCATAAAAATATTATAGCAATTTTAATTTTTCTCCATGACTATTGATTCTGTTAACTCACCAGAGTTAACCTAACGTAATTTTGTATTGTAATACTGACCTTTAGCTGTAGAGAATCCAGTCCTGATCACAACGGCCAAAACTTTCTCATTTCCGAAATTTCGAGTTTGTATAACTTCAGTACCACAAAACAGAGTATGTCTAGCATGTTCTTTAGGATCATATATCAGTCTTGAGAGATTAGGCAGCGAAGTTTTTGTAACTGGAACACTTTCCCCTTAAATAAAAATAAATGTTTATACTAACGTATGAGCGAAAAAAAAACGGCGTCAAAGACGGTAGGGGAACGACAATCGATAATTTTGGCGAGGTCAATCTCTAGACGTCGTTTACTAAAAATTGACATAAATCTTAAGGCCAACTAGCGGTAAGCGCCATTAAAATATAAAGAGTATGGAACCAAGTAAATGACGTTAGAGCTTGACCTCGCCAAAATTATCATCGATTGTCATTCTCCAGGCATTCATTGACGCCGTTTTTTTCAATCATAATAAAAACAGAGGTAAAAAAACGAATCATTTGTATTTCAAACAAGTTTTAAAAAATATAGTTAACCTGTTAACATAGACTCATTCAAAATGCAATTTCCTGTCAATAAAACGGCGTCGCATTGCATGGTACAACCAGCGGCGGGGATCTCCAAAATATCGCCAGGTACCAAAGTGTTTGTAGGAACAGTTTCTGATATGTAATCATTAATTTCAGAATTACTTGAGGAAGGTTTTCGTAAAACAATACAATTATCAGCGGATCCAACGGTGCTCTTCAAATTCCTTTCATTCTTTAAAAAAGTATGTTAAAAATAGCAGTTTATTTATTAAAACACAAACTTACTTGTCTAGTCTGTCTCACAGTTAAAGCAATACCAAACACTGACATGAACATGATAGCTGCAGCATAGTAGTAGTACTCGTCACAGAACCACAATATAAAGCTGAACAATTGAAAAATATAGAAAGGATTTAGAACTTCCAAAAATAAAAGCGTTAGAATTGAAGAAACTTTTACTGCAATCACGTTTGGACCATATACATATCTCCTGAAAACCGTATTTTTTAAGTTAATAACAATCATATTTATATATGTGATAGCAAATAAACTTTTAGTTACGTCATCGAGGGCGCGATTTTTAAATTCGTTGTTGCCAGACATTGTCATTCGTTTTGACACTTTAGTTTTGTATTACGAGATTTTGGTTTGTGTAAAATGTGTGTAACGAAAATTGTTCTTTTAGAACCTATTTTAGTGCGAAGTGTACAAGATAACTTAATAAACGCTGCAAAAAATTCATCGCAATAGAATATTTTAATCGGGAAAGCGGTAGTAATGGCCCTTTATGTCAGTGCTGTTAATTAGGTGAGTTTTGTTGATGTAAATAATAACTGTTTAAATCTTTATAATTAATTCATTTTTGTTTCCTAGAATATTTTGATTAAAAGAAAATATGTCAAAGTCGGCGACGCTGTGCCGGTAAATCTTAATCACTTGACTAAAAGTTTACATGCTATGATCCATAGTAGTTCTATGTTCACGGAATATTGGGACACCCCGTATATATAAAGAATAATAAAATTATATAAGGATTCTTGCCACTTAACTGCTTATATAGAAATTTAATTCTACGCAGTGTTTGTCATAATGTGGATCAACCTGCTCTCACTACCGGTTTCGGAGCCCTACTCCATCATCAGGTGAGCTTGGGCAGATCCACAAAATGACAACCACAGCGCAGAGATAGTTAATTCCGTTCCGTAAAGTTCGGTTAGATATTAAGTCCCGAACGGGAGTATATAAGCAGTTAAGTGGCAAGAATCCTTATATAATTTTATTATATACCTATACTGCAAGAAATTTGTTTTCTATTTTATAATTTGGCTTGTCTGAAAAAAAGCCTTTTACTATCGATAGTTGCGCCCCGGTGCGGTGGTACGAAAGTATTACCATTGCACGCAGGCCGCTATCTCCCGTTCGGGACTTAATATCTAACCGACACTTTTCGACAAGTCGGAATTAACTATCTCTGCGCTGTGGTTGTCATTTTGTGGATCTGCCAAAGCTCACCTGATGATGGAGTAGGACTCCGAAACCGGTAGTGAGAGCAGGGTGATCCACATTATGACAAACACAGCATAGAATTAAATTTCTATATAAGCAGTTAAGTGGCAAGAATCCCTATATAATTTTATTATATACCTATACTGCAAGAAATTTGTTTTCTATTTTAGATAAAGAATATTTTTATTGTATTTTTGAAGACCTATTACTGACCTTACAAAATTTTCATTTGACGTTAAAGGAAGATATTTATGGAAAACATCACAAGGAACTCCACCGTCCAAGCCTGCCAACTTAACAAATTCTTGCTTGTTGCTCTCGTATATATAGTGCACTTTCTTCACAGTGAACATTAATAATCTAGAAAAAATATCCAATATTAGAAAATAGTAGAAAAAAATCGAAAATTTAAACCAACTTGTCAATATTCCGGAATTCTCCCTTTTCAAAATGAATGGACAAAGATGGGCAAGCAGGAACTTCTTCAATGTTTAAAACTGTGTCATCTTTGTGCTTGGATTTTTCAATTGATTCTGACGTGATGATTTTCAGTTGTTTGATATGGTAAATTTTATGTTTACCATTATACAACTCCTGGAAAAGCAAAAGTATGCCTGATAATTTTTAGGTACATGTTGAGTTTTTTTTGTTGAATTAATATGTATAGCCTGTACAAACCTTAGACTAAGGTACAAACCACCGTTCAACGTTACGTTATTATTATTTATCTAGTATATTATATCCGTAAGTATACAGGGTGGTCCGAACTGTATTCCGGAAACTTCGGCAGCATATTCTGCAGATAAAATAAGTAAAAAAGTTCTTGTAAATGTATGTCCTAAAATGCTTAGTTTCGGAGATACGTAGAAGTTCCATTTTTATTTCGATTTATTACAAATAATTTCGGAAGTAACGTCAATATTTGGATGAAATTTGGTGTCTGGGAGTTTTTTGTATAATAAATTTGATTTTGATGTAAATATGACTCCTACTTGTAGAGGGCGCCACCTACATATTTTTAACTGGTTTGAAGAGTAATAACTTTTCGTCCGTACCTGTATAAAACTACTAAGTAAAAAATTATACATTTACGACGTTTTTAACATAAAAAAGGTCTCTTAATAAAAATCGCTACGAGTAATAGTTCTCAAGATATTTTAAATCAAAATTATCAATACCTGTCATTATTAAAATCTTACTTAAATCATAAATTTTAAATGTTTTTGTGCCAAATCATCATCAATTATCATTTTTTCGAAGAAAATTTTATAATTAATTTAAAAAAATAATTTTTTTCCAAATTTATCATTTCAGTCAAATAACTATCTACTCAGCATGCATGACATGTATTGACTACTTCCATTCTAAATATCTCGAGGAGAACGATTTTAATATAGAATAACGATTTTTACCAAGAGATATGTTTTACGTAAAAAATTACGAAAATATATATTTTTTCACTCAGTAGTTCTATACAGGTACAGACAAAAAGTTATTACTATTTAAAACAGTTAAAACACATGTACGTGGCGCCCCCTACAAATAGGAGTCATAACGACATCAAAATCAAATTTCTCATGTCAAAAAACTACCAGACACCAATTTTCATCCAAATGTTGACGTTACTTCAGAAATTATTTGGAAAAAATCGAAATAAAAATGAAACTTCTACACCCTGTATCTCCAAAACTAAGCATTTTAAGACATACATTTATAAGAAGTTTTTAAATTCTTTTTATCTGCAAAATATGCTACCGAAGTTTCCGGAATACAGTTCGGACCACCCTGTATATGATCTAGGATTATATCCCTTTTTGAGTGCCTGAGATCAATTCCAAAAATAATAAATTAGGATTGATTGACGTATTCAGTCTTTTATGACAGTCTCGGTATTTTTTTACTTTATTCGATAGAAAATGACACTCTGAACAAAATGACATATGATAGGTCAACTTTTGACCTTTTTGAATATGGTTTATTTGAAATAACGACAATTTGACTCGAAATACCAAATGTGTGGTACCAAATTATTCGTAAAAAATTGCTTTTTTCAAATAAACTAATGAGCCGCCCAAGTTGTATTTGACAAAAATTGAGTTATGTGATTAAAAATACGATTTGGGTATCTTTTAGCAGGCCAGAAAAAGGCATGAAAAGAATTCCAAGGCTCCTTGATTAATAGTTTTAACACAGCCATATCCACTCTAGATTGAAATTTAAAATCAAAGATGGCAATTTCCAGTAAAACAGGAAGTGACAGAGACTAATTGAACATCAATCAATCCCGATTTATGTCATATATGTACTAACATATCTTTATCATAGTATAGACTTTATCCATCTCAGAGAAATAACTAAAGAGCTTTCAATAAAAATAACATAGATTTGAAACAATTTGGCTATTATAACTCCTCTAATTTTACTTTATATTCCTCTGAGATATCCATGGTACAGCTCAAATACGGTTCATATCAAATAAACTTTTAATTAGGTCATCGAGGGTGCGATTTTTAAATTAAGTGTTGCCAACCATGGACATATTCCGCGCCAGTTACGTATTGTCATTTTGTGGATCTGCCCAAGCTCACCTGATGATGGAGTAGGACTCCGAAACCGGTAGTGAGAGCAGGTTGATCCACATTATGACAAACACAGCATAGAGTTAAATTTCTATATAAGCAGTTAAGTGGCAAGAATCCCATGGTACAAAGAAAACAAGGTATGATCGATAGCGGCTCCAATTTCGTTAAGTTTGCGCATACCACCTGTGACGTCATACGCCATACAAAAAAATATCCATATTGTTCAATTGCCACTAATAAAAAGAGACCTAAAATAGGGAAGAATTAGGACATAACCCCAAAAGTTGTGTCAAATCATCGCGCTTGACATTTGAAAAATTATTTTCACATATTGACACAATCAAATTTCACAGATGACACAATCTGTTTGACAATTTGAAATTGGCGCGCAGAGCTTGCCGACCAATGGTGCCGTTTATCACCTGTGACGTAGTGACCAACCTGCGCAATATCATACCTTGTATTCTTTGTATCATGCAAGAATCCCTATATAATTTTAATATATAACTATACTGCAAGAAATTTGTTTTCTATTTTATATAAAGAATATTTTTATTGTATTTTTGAAGACCTATTACTGACCTTACAAAATTTTCATTTGACGTTAAAGGAAGATATTTATGGAAAACATCACAAGGAACTCCACCATCCAAGCCTGCCAACTTAACAAATTCTTGCTTGTTGCTCTCGTATATATAGTGCACTTTCTTCACAGTGAACATTAATAATCTAGAAAAAATATCCAATATTAGAAAATAGTAGAAAAAAATCGAAAATTTAAACCAACTTGTCAATATTCCGGAATTCTCCCTTTTCAAAATGAATGGACAAAGATGGGCAAGCAGGAACTTCTTCAATGTTTAAAACTGTGTCATCCTTGTGCTTGGATTTTTCAATTGATTCTGACGTGATGATTTTCAGTTGTTTGATATGGTAAATTTTATGTTTACCATTATACAACTCCTGGAAAAGCAAAAGTATGTGTGATAATTTTTAGGTACATGTTGAGTTTTTTTTTTGTTCAATTAATACGTATAGCCTGTACAAACCTTAGACTAAGGTACAAACCACCGTTCAACGTTACGTCATTATTATTTATCTAGTATATTATATCCGTAAGTATACAGGGTGGTCCGAACTGTATTCCGGAAACTTCGGCAGCATATTCTGCAGATAAAAATAAGTAAAAAAGTTCTTATAAATGTATGTCCTAAAATGCTTAGTTTCGGAGATACATGGTGTAGAAGTTTCATTTTTATTTCGATTTATTACCATTACACTTAATTTCTGAAGTAACGTCAATATTTGGATGAAATTTGGTGTCTGGGAGTTTTTTGATATGATAAATTTGATTTTGATGTAAATATGACTCCTACTTGTAGAGGGCGCCACCTACATATTTTTAACTGGTTTGAAGAGTAATAACTTTTCGTCCGTACCTGTATAAAACTACTAAGTAAAAAATTATACATTTACGACGTTTTTAACGCAAAAAAGGTCTCTTAATAAAAATCGCTACCAGTAATAGTTCTCAAGATATTTTAAATCAAAATTATCAATACCAGTCATTAAAATCTTACTTAAATCATAAATTTTAAATGTTTTTGTGCCAAATCATCATCAATTATCATTTTTTCGAAGAACATTTTATAATTAATTGAAAAAAATAAAATTTTTCCAAATTTATCATTTCAGTCAAATAACTATCTACTCAGCATGCATGACATGTATTGACTACTTCCATTCTAAATATCTCGAGAAGGGTTGCTCATAACGATTTTCACCAAGAGATATGTTTTACGTAAAAAAATACGAAAATATATATTTTTTCACTCAGTAGTTCTATACAGGTACGGACAAAAAGTTATTACTATTTAAAACAGTTAAAACACATGTACGTGGCGCCCCCTACAAATAGGAGTCATAATGACAACAAAATCAAATTTCTCATGTCAAAAACTACCAGACACCAATTTTCATCCAAATGTTGACGTTACTTCAGAAATTATTTGGAAAAAATCGAAATAAAAATGAAACTTCTACACCCTGTATCTCCAAAACTAAACATTTTAAGACATACATTTATAAGAAGTTTTTAAATTCTTTTCATCTGCAGAATATGCTACCGAAGTTTCCGGAATACAGTTCGGACCACCCTGTACAGTACATCTGCTGGATCTGTGTCTATGAAAGGAATGCGGACAAAAAACATTTAAATAAACAGAAATATATTTTATACGTCGATTTGACGAGTGCGTCACCGCAAATCGCTCCGCCCACTCATTTTATTGGCTACTTGCAAATTTGTTGAATTTTTATTGATGGGACGCGTCGTCTAATTTTTTACGAAAAACATCGAGAGAATATCGTTTCCCCTCTCACGGATACCCCGTAGCCACAGAACGGACAGACGTACTGTATATGATTATATCCCTTTTTGAGTGTCTGAGATCAATTCCAAAAATAATAAATTAGGATTGATTGACGTATTCATTTATTGTTTTCAGTCTTTTATGACAGTCTCGGTATTGTTTTACTTTATTCGATAGAAAATAGGTTTGTTCTCACAGCGTGTTCCCAACATGTTTGTGACTTCTTCCAAACCGGTGTTAATGCGCAGGTCTCAAATAATGCAGTTTCTTGTCGATTTCAAACATGTTTCAAACTGTCTGTGCGAACAGCGAATCCCCTACTCTTCTTTTTTGATCTAATAATACCACTAATTTTAACTCCTACGTAATACCGAATAAAGAAGAAAACGAACAGGGAATTAATAACCAAAGATATCTTTTAATATTTTTGGTTTTGTTCTTTAATGTTTTAATGTTTTGTAATTTTGATTCTTGGGCCTAACCCGTTCCTCCATCAGCTCTTCTCGGTCTGTCTGTATCCGAAAATCCGGACGCCTCAGATTCTTCGGAAGATTCAAAATCGCTCATTTCATTTCTTTATTTTTGAAGAATAAAACACTAAACAAAAACAACACACGTTTTGTAGGTTAAGTTTACCAATTAATGACGTCGGGTCGCAATACGCATGCGCCGGACACTTTACTTGCAAAAGATCCGCGAACAGGTCTGACTGTCAGCTAACAATCAGAATTTTCTGTGCGAACAGCGTACTGTTGGTTGGAAACCAATCAAAAATTTCTGTACGAACGCGTTTTACCCTATTGCGCATGATTATCTGTTGGAAATATGTTTCTTACAGCTGTGAGAACAAACCTAATGACACTCTGAACAGAATGACATATGATAGGTCAACTTTTGACCTTTTTGAATATGGTTTATTTGAAATAACGACAATTTGACTCGAAATACCAAGTGTGTGGTACCAAATTATTCGTAAAAAAATGCTTTTTTCAAATAAACTAATGAGCCGCCCAAGTTGTATTTGACAAAAATTGAGTTATGTGATTAAAAATACGATTTGGGTATCTTTTAGCAGGCCAGAAAAAGGCACGAAAAGAATTCCAAGGCTCCTTGATTAATAGTTTTAACACAGCCATATCCACTCTAGATTGAAATTTAAAATCAAAGGTGGCAATTTCCGGTAAAACAGGAAGTGACCGAGACTAATTGAACATCAATCAATCCCGATTTATGTCATATATGTACTAACATATCTTTATCATAGTATAGACTTTATCCATCTCAGAGAAATAACTAAAGAGCTTTCAATAAAAATAACATAGATATGAAACAATTTGGCTATTATAACTCCTCTAATTTTACTTTATATTCCTCTGAGATATCCATGGTACAGCTCAAATACGGTTCATATCAAATAAACTTTTAATTAGGTCATCGAGGGTGCGATTTTTAAATTAAGTGTTGCCAACCATGGACATATTCCGCGCCGTGCTGACTAAGCTGAATTTAAATTTCCCACTTTTTAAGCTTTTACTACTCTTTATTACCAGCTAAAATAGCACATACTATCGTATTTAATTTTTTCGAAAAAACGCGCTATGTTTGTTAAATTGTAAGGAAGCGCCCTCTAGCGTCTACGTTCAAAACATTATTATTGATATTATTATGGTATAATATAGAGTAAGAAACGCTCTTTTAAACGAGCCCTCGTTTGTTGGATTCTGATCATCCAGTCCGGAGTTATTAACATTTAAATAAAGATAGATCTAACCTCCCCCCTACCACTTTATTTTAGCAGAAATGGGAAAATGGTTCTAACAAAAAAAATCCGAAATTTACTGAAGATTATGAAGCTATTATTTATAGTACTCATTATCTAGGCAAAATTCTGTAAAAAATCTATTTTCTTATTTTCCATAGCAGTTGCGCCACCTAGCGGCCGTTTTAAAAACTTGAAAATAATTTCCAGCAATTTCTCATAGCCCCTTTAGTTATAAATATTTTTTCCGTAAGCCCTATGGCTAATACTTTCCGAGATACAGCCGAGAGCTATTAGTGGGACACCCGGTACAAGATAACTTAATAGCCGTAAAAAACTCATCGCAACTTTATTAGAATATTTTGAACGGGAAAGCGGTAGTAATGGTCCTTTATGTCCCTTAAGTGCTGTTAAGGAGGTGAGTTTTTTTGATGGTAAAGTTTGAGTTAAAAGTGGGCAACGTTGTGCCGGTCAAGCTTAATCACGTGATTAAATGTTTATTTGGTATGAACTGTAGTTTAATTTCCATTCGGTTACACTGTATATAAATATGTACGACAAAATATTAATAGTATAAATATAATAATAATTTACCACTACAAGTATTTTTTCAGCCTGATTGATCTTGCAATTGACACTAGTAGAAAACAAATACAATCTCGGAACCCAATGATAAAACAGCCTCAGCAGACCGCAAGTTAACACAAATCCTAGATAAGTAAGGGCCGTCTTTGCCCTACTGGTTCGGTAGTAATGTATTTCCATCTGATCATCTTGATCCTTGTTGATGAACATCTTCTGTTCATGGGAATGTGAACCTAGAATAAAACAATTGTGATTTTTCTATGGCTTTTCGCGATCACTTTTTACACGTTCTGATTCAAAAACCGAAAAATGACTATGATAAACAGAAAAGTAAATATGTACTGATTGTGTAGAAGTGAACAATTCCTTTGAAAACAGATAAGTCTAGTGTAATTGTGACAGACGATAATAAGGTTTTACACATTAAATTCTTTTAATAAAATGTATCACTAAAAAAGGATTAATTAAAAAAAAAATACAAGATTTAGTTTTTGATCGATAAAATTTCAATATGAATTATAATGTAATTTTCACTGTAAAATTATTTCAAATGCATTTGTATTTTTTTAATTTTGTTTTAAAATTTAATAAAACAGATAAGATCAAAAGATTGTTTCCTTTTTTAATGTATGACAATTATCAATTTTAAAGTTGCTTGAGCTAGATTTAATATAGTTCCCCAATATGTTTGCAGTGTATGATTTATTTTAGTAATAAAAATTACGTACACACACTCAAAATTTTAAATTTTACGATTTTAAATCTCAAAATTCAGACAAGTGGCAGTTATCTTGTACATGATTACAAAAAAATCTAGATTTCAAAATTGGATTAAAAGTTATAAAAAAAACAATTTAAAAAGTGGTTTAAACTAGAATTTTGATATGTAAATAAAATGTTAGATATTTGCAATATCTGATAATTTAATCAACATATATTTAGAGCATTATGTACTTAAGCTAAGATGCAGGTTTATTTATAAACGGCTTTAAAATATGACAGAAAAGTTTGATTTGTATATATTATCCTATATGCTCAGTAACTTCAATTACACAAAAGTAAAATATGTATATTTAAATAAGGACTTATTTATACTATATTTACTTAGATATAATAATAATAATAATAAGTCTTTATTGTAATCCATACATAAAATAAGAGTTACAAATGGTTATGAAAATATACCAGCCTGGACACTTTATCTACGTGGTCTGTATTTTAATGCATGCGACAGAGATAAATATAAATAACCGGTTGACAGACAGAGAGACAAAATAAAAAGCGGCAAACAGTGTTGCCGGTTTTTACGGGTGTAGAAAAATTTCTGTAGAAAAAACAATTATATATTTTAAAAACGTTCATGTCAGACAGAGAGACAAAATAAAAAGCAGCAAACAGTATTGTCGGTTTATGCGTGTGTAGAAAAATGTCTGAAGAAAAAAACAATTATATATTTTAAAAACGTTTATGTATTCTTCTGAAATGAAGTTAATATATCTAGGTTACATATTATAATATATTACAGCTTTAGTAAAATAAATACTACTAATTGTGAAAAATAAAGTTCCAACCCGATCGGTATCTAGTATTTTGATTTTAATTGTGAATTTACAATATATAGTACGATCAAAGAGTTTTATGATTAAACTGGCTTTGGATGCTGATAGCACAGGCTGACAGTTAAAAAAAATCAATCAAATCCTACTAAAATCCCCCCTTCAAAAAATAATTATTTATCTGTCATTCTCCAAAGTCTGCTTAATCAAAAAACATTTTTTAAACGTCACGAAAGTATTAATTTTTGCGACGTGATTGACGATATAAAAAATCATTTTAACGCCTAGGCATAAAAGTATGCACTTTCACGCAAAGTACAAAAGTAGGAAAATATATTATTAAACTGACATAAAGTGTCAATTTCAACGGATGTTACCATAGTTTCTCGATATACAATTTCTTACAAGGTATTACTTTTAAATATTTTCATATTATTTGCAACGTTTGAAATTGTTTAAATAGTTATTTGTGACGTTTGAAAAAAATAGCATGTTTCTATTTGGAGTAAAAATGACTTTTTTGTACCTCGCCTGTAATGCCTCGTAACGTATAGCCTCGCTACAAAAAGTATCATTTTTACACCTAATAAAACAATACATACATACAATATACAGGGTGGCGCACCTCATTCGCCTCGGTTGATTATACGAAAAGGGTAAGATGTAGAGACAAAATATTTTATAGGTATATGTGGGGAGTCAATGTGCACAATTTAAAATTATTTTGAAATATACAGGGTGTCTCAGAACTATGATCCATACCAAAGTTATATTTTTTCTTATGGAACACCCTGTATTTTATTTCATTTTTGGATTCTTGGGCCCAAAAAAGGGCATTTATTATAAGGGTTAAATATGTTTAAAATCATTGGTTTTTGATATATTTACAGATATTTAAATATGCATGCTGCAAAAGAATTGATTATCAATACCCTGTACATTACTTTTCAGAATTAATTCTTGTGGTGGGTTTAAAGGCAAAGAAATAAACTTTACTAAAAATGTTATTGCTTCCTTAAATTTATACAGGGGTGCCAAAAATTAGTGATCTATTTTAAGGATTTATTTTACATAAAAACTTTGTTATTTCAAATGCAACACACTGTATTTTTTTAAATAAATCGAAGCAGATTTAAATGCTTTTTCAAACTATATTAGGGTTTCCTATACCTATCTATCTCAGATTTTGAATAAAAAGCGATTTTTAAATAAAATGGCAATCAAGATGGCTGGTATCGCCATGGCAATTTTCTAGTAACAGTTAGTAACTATTTTCAAAATCGACATTAGTTTATAGACTTTATTTAAATCTATACCAGTTTACTTTTATTTAATTGGCCTATAATAATTTAATAAATAATATTTATTAATATGTATTTATTATTCTATCAAGAAAAACGAAGAAGTAATTCTTTGTTTTATTTTACGATAACTTGCAGATATATGAATTTTTTATAAAAGATCCAATTACGGCAAATTCAATTTTTTCACTTCCAACGACAGGTTTCTGCCAAGTAGGTTTTTTATAAACAACACTACCAACTCTGCGAAATAGAAAATAGGACAAGTAATTTTTCAAAAGAACGCTTATCAGGAAGATTCCTATTTGGATATTCCTGAGCATTAGGCTGTTGAGGTCGAGAAATAATATTCCTCACAAAATAAAATCACTAGTAACATATCCATTCGTTCCACCAGCAGATATGGCTTTATTTTTTTTTCATAAAATTAAGAATACTTACTTATTAAACAATTGTGGGTAAATTTTAGTAAACTGTTTAAATAATAATGTCCATACAGTAATGTCGACTTTGAAAATAGTTACTGTCACTAGAAAATTTCCATGGCGATACCAGCCATCTTGATTGCCATTTTATTTAAAAATCGCTTTTTATTCAAAATCTGAGATAGATAGGTATAGGAAACCCTAATATAGTTTGAAAGAGCATTTGAATCTGCTTCAATTTATTTAATAAAATACAGGGTGTTGCATTTGAAATAACCAAGTTTTTATGTAAAATAAATCCTTAAAATAGATCACTAATTTTTGGTACCCCTGTATAAATTTAAGGAAACAATAACATTTTTCAGTAAAGTTTCTTTCTTAACCTTTAAACTCAGCACAATAATTAATTCTGAAAAGTAATGTACAGGGTGTTGATAATCAATTCTCTTGTAGCATGCATATTTAAATATCTTTAAATACCTCAAAAACCAATGATTTTAAACACATTTTACCCTTATAATAAATGCCTTTTTTAGGGTCCAAGAGTCCAAAAATGAAATAAAATACCGGGTGTTCCATAAGAAAAAATTTAACTTTGGTATGGATCTTAGTTCTGACACACCCGGTACATTTCAAAATAATTTTAAATTATGCACATTGCCTTCCCACATATACCCATAAAATATTTTGTTTCTACATCTTTCCGTTTTCGTATAATCAACCGAGGTGAATGAGGTGCGCCACCCTGTACTTTTGTCATATACAGTATGATTGTAAAACAATTTTTCATAAGCCCTAAACTCACAAAGTAATATAACATGAATATAACCCTTTTTCTTTCAAAATTATCAAAAATGATGTTCTCAAAATCTAAGAAAAAAACTTAAGTAACAGATCGACAGAAAAAAGAGATGAGACTTGTAATCTTTAGAAAAATAAAAATTGAATACATTTGCAACCAACAATACAGGTAAATTAATGCATTATATCACTTTATTTTAACGGGTTAACATAAAGGCATATGGATATATGAAGAAAACACTTCAGTTATTGATTTGAAACCACATACAGTATATTCTACAAAGAAAATAAAATATCACAATTAGACTCCAAAGGAAAAAAAACAAGAGCCTTTACGAAATTTAAATTATTCGTAGGAAATTCCAGTTCATTACACATTATCGTTGAAAACCATAAACAAACTATAAAACACAAAACCTAGCCTCTATTTATTTTTTATGATATGTAACCACACCATGATGGTTCAATTAAACTAGTTGTTACCTGATGGTACGACCAATAGGTGTCCAGCCATATTTGCTTTATATACAGCTTACATTTTTATACACAAAAATATATTAGTATACCTACATAAATTTTAAGTACGCACTTATTTCTAAATAATAAAATAGGTTTTAGTTGTGTCGTTTGAAAATTTAAAATAAGAATAATTCTTATAACGATTAGTCGCGCTTATAACAAATTGTTTTAAATTGTATAATCTAGGATGTAAAATAAAAAAAATATGCACACGATCATATCAAGGACATAATTACGTGATTTAAACAGTAATTTTTCATTCATTAAACCAGTAATGTTGCGATTACATGACATTAAATACACCTTTATAAATTTGCAAATATTTTTCTTAGATGAGTTGTGAGTAATTTGATCGATCCTCTTTGGGTAAAAGATTAAAGATTAGTGTCAATTATTTTTACAGTCTTTAAAAATTATTAAATAAGAAAGATTATAGGAAATTATTTATTTTGCAGGCTTCACAGGGTTCGTTGAAATTTGTACTGTCTATAGATAGAATTAAAAGATAAATGGCGCCAATGTACAGAGTGGGTCAAATTCGACGCTTTTAAATGGAAACACCCTTTTCTATAGGAGATAGACAAAAACTAATATCGGTGTCTGGAGTTCAATTTTTGTCAAAAACATGATGGTGAAAACCGCACATCGATATCTGTTACCGTTTCGGAGTTACGGGGTGTTTTTCAAAAATATGCATTTTTAACAAATCGCTGTAACTTTTTTGGTATGGAAAATTTTGTATTTTTATGAAAATATTTCCAAAGCACCTTTTTACGTAGAATTTAATGGTTTAAGTATAATTTTTTTAAAACTAACAATTTAAGAATTATCAACAGAAAATTTGATTTTTTATACGGGACACCCTGTATATTTTTAATTAACTAAAAAGAATTTAAAATTACCTTTCCAAAAATATAGCACACTTGATATTTTGTTATAATCCCCTTCGAAATACAGAATTTTTAAAAGTTCGCCACTTTTAACTAGTAGGCTTTGGACCCCTCATTGATGATATGCCCTTAATGGAACTCGAAACCATATTTTTCCAGCAAGACGACGCACCGCCTCTGAACGCTGAAGTTATCAGCAAATTTCTACAGCCAATTTCAAGAATAATTGAATAGCTGACCAAGAACCCAGCCGTTGGTCGACAGTTTTGCGAAAAAAATTGTTAAATATTTTTCGTAACATTTTCCGGGAAATTTAGAAAAAAAACATTTTAGAGCCACTTGTTTAGATTTCTACGGTGTATCTAAATCTTGCAGTGTTGCCACCTCCTACATTATCCATATTCAAGATATTTGCATTCACTGCAATTTTAAATTTGTACACAAAAATTACGAGTATTAATTCTAATCATATCAGTGTCTATTTCTAACAATTCTAGAAACACACCACATTAATTACTTTTAAGCATACCACATTTTTATATTTATTTTTAATTATACTTCAAAAATAACTCTTAACATTGCCATATGACGAAGTAGTTTCAGTAAAAAAACATTCTTTTAAATATTTTGCTTGTATTTACCCTTTCAATGAGAACCAAACTGGGTAAAATTAATTCTTACGAAAATCGCAAAAATAACTTTATTTAAAACTAAATTTAATAAAATAATTCACTATATTATTCATTCTGAGATCACATAAAAGAAAATACCAACATATTTATCGGAATTCACTATTCGGAACGTCATCAAAATCAGACAAATAAACTGTATACAAACGACACGCAACTCATTCCAGGGATTTCAGATTTCGCTAATTATAGCATCTGTGGCATATACTTCTTTTGACTATCTGGCAACACAGGGCGTCGAATTCGCTTAATAACCGATTATTGCCAGCGGTTCTCAAAATGTTTTAACATTATTTATATGTGTCATGTTATGTTTTGACATTGACTTTAAAAATTTTAAAGTTTAACTCAGTTATTTTTAATTTATTTTAAAAAATGGTAAAGAGAAAAAATGTTTTTTTGGCCGGATCTATCACTCCTTAAAAGATCTGCACTTATTTCTGGGACACCCGTATAAAGTCCGCATCATATACTGGGTGCGTGGTGCGTCTCAAAAGTGGCTCACCCCTAAACTTTTTCTATTTTTTTAGATAAAAAAACGAAATTTGGTATGTTAGTATATGACATAAATTAGAATTGATTGACGTATTCAATTGTTTTCGGTCACTTCCTGTTTCACCGGAAATGACTACAACTTTTGATTTTTAAATGGTACCCTCGGTATTTTTTTACCTTATTCGATAAAAAATCACATTCTGAATAGAATGACATATCATATGTCAATTTTTGATATTTTCGCATATGGTTTATTTGAAATTGTAACATGCGGTTCATAACAACAATTTGACTCGAAATACCAACTTAGAAAAAAAATGGTTTTTCCAAATATGCTAATGAATCACCCTCGTTTCGTTTGAAAAAATTGAGATATGATTAAAAATACGATTTGGGCATCTTTTAACCGGTCAGGACAAGATATTAAAAACCAAATTTATTTTTCCAAAGCTTTTTGATTAAAAATTAGCGTTTTTGAACATAGTCATGGCACTGTAGATTGAAATTTAAAAAACGATTTTTTATTAACCGAGAATGTCAAAAGGTGACAAATCATATATCATTCCATTCAGAATGTCATTTTCTATTGAATAAAGAAGGTATAGGGGTGAGTAAAAAAAATAAAAAAGGTATAGGGGTGAGCCACTTTTGAGACGCACCCCAGTATAGGATTCTTTATTTATTGATTTAGGTAAAATTTGACTTTGGCGTCAGCCTTTTCTTTAAAATAGATTAAAAATGACAACAAAATTTACGCTGTTAGTATTTGTCAAACTTGACACAAAAAACTAAATGGCTAAAAAACCTCATTATTAATTATCAGCCATCTACATAGACAAAGAATAAAATTTTGTAATTTTTAACCAATAGCAGGCGATTCTCGAGGTAACAGCGAAAATAGTCGATTGGAGTCCCTCTGCTAGTCAAATATTTATCTAATGGTCATATATTCCTTTAAATTTATTGAACCAATTTATAGTTTTTATAGAAAAATATATTTAGTTGTATAAAATTAGACTAAAGTGATGCAAAGTATGAATAAATTTGCTTAAGCAACTACGAAATTCAAATATGTACATCCTGGGGACTTATTTGCATAATAAAAAAATTGCTTTTAAACCTGGTTGTACCCTAAAACCAGTATTAGACTATAAAATTTAGTTGTCAAAGATTATTTATAAAAGATCTTTGATAAAGGATTTTACTTATTTTATAATTGACTTATTTTATAAAATATTGTATTTTAGACTGCTATAAGAATATAAAATTTCTTTGTCAAAAATCGTTTATAAAAGGTCTTTGATGAAAAAATTACAATAATGTAGTATACAATATTTTATAAAATATGTAACTATAAAATATGGTATATTACACTGTCAAATTCTTTATCAAAGATCTTTTATAGATAAACTTTGACAATTTTATAATCCAATAGCAGTCTAACACTGTCAAGTTGTTCATCAAATATCTTTTATAAAAAATCTTTGACAAATTAATATTGTAATGTACAATATTTTATAAAATATTGTATAATTATTAGGCCGCTATTACTATATAAAATTTCTTTGTCAAAAATCGTTTATAAAAGATGCCTGATGAAAAAATTACAATAATGTGGTATACAATACTTCATAAAATATGTATGTGTAATATACAATATTTTATAAAATATTGTATATTACACAATACTTATATTATTACTTATATATTTATACACACAATATTTTATAAAATATTGTATATTACACTGTCAAATTCTTTAACAAAGATCTTTTATAAATAATCTTTGACAAAGAAATTTAATAGTCTAATAGTAGCCTTATATTGTCAAATTGTTCATCAAATATCTTTTAAAAGAAATCTTTGACAAATTAATATTGTAATATACAACATTTTATAAAATATTGTATATTACACTGTCGAATTTTTCGTCAAAGACCATTGTTATTATCAATGGTCGCGTTCATCAGGACGTAGCGCTACTGCAGCGATCACTAATTTTCTGCTGAACGCGCCGATTAGTTGTGAGCGCTCTGGGATCAGTCGCCATTTTTTCCATCAGATTTAAAATACGCTACGCTACCGATGCATGATGGATTAAACGTCACATACGCCAAATGTCACAAAATGCTTTGGAAAACGAAAACAAACCATTTTGTTTATTGTTCTCGGTTGACTAATCCCCTCGATTTGTGCCAAAAATGGGTGAAAACAATTTAATATGCATTACTTATGATTTTGATAATCAAATTTATGAGGTGTCGGGAATGGAACAAGGAAAGAGAGTTCCTCGTCTAAGGGATGCTAAAAAGCGCGTTCAGCAGGACAACCAATCGATGGCACATCGCTCACTGATCAACTTGTCCTGATGAACGTGACCAATGGTCTCAAATAACAATATAAAATTTCTTTGTCAAAAATCGTTTATAAAAGGACTTCAATGAAAAAATTACAATAATGTAGTATACAATATTTTATAAAATATGTAATTATAAAATATGGTATATTACACTGTCAAATTCTTTATCAAAGATCCTTTATAGATAATCTTTGACAATTTTATAGTCCAATAGCAGTCTAACACTGTCAAATTGTTCATCAAATATCTTTTATAAAAGATCTTTGACAAATTAATATTGTAATGTATAATAGGCCGCTATTACAATAAAAAATTTCTTTGTCAAAAAATTGTTTATAAAAGATGTGTGATGAAAAAATTACAATAATGTAGTATAAAATATTTCATAAAATATGTATGTGTAATATAAAATATTTTATAAAATATTGTATATTACACTGTCAAATTCTTTAACAAAGATCTTTTATAAATAATCTTTGACAAAGAAATTTAATAGTCCAATAGTAGGTAGCCTTATATTGTCAAATTGTTCATCAAATATCTTTTATAAGAAATCTTTGACAAATTAATATTGTAATATACAACATTTTATAAAATATTGTATATTACACTGTCAAATTTTTCATCAAAGACCATTGTTATTATCAATAGTCTCAACTCTCAATTACAAAGAGAGTATCTAAATATGTGTGGGAGACTATCATGAATAAGCTGAAACTGATGATTATGATGATAAAAAAATGGATTTATATTACTAAACATTATAACATAAATTACCTCCCAATAACTCCTCTATTTGTTCCATGGTCTTCATATTTCTGACTTCCCTTTGCCCAAACAACTTCATAAGAAAATTATCACTCCCCATCATAAAATTGTCTATTACTGCTGAGTGATTAGCTTTAAACACCAATTTAACATAGAATAAACACAAATAAATCTAAACAACTAACCCGACACCTTTTACTTTAATTTTGCGCTTATTTGTTTAGTTAATTAAAATTTTAATCGAAAAACAACTTTCCCATCTAAAAAAGTCAATTATTGTTCTTGTTGAAACGAGCTTTCACGCAAGTTCTAGCTAAAAGTCCTCCAATGTAACCAGCCCCCTTCTGAGAGACACCTCGTAGTGCTTAAGTTGGGACAGCCTGTGCTTATTCTTTTCGACGCACTCTTAACCACATCTTTTATGAACTAACTTCGATTTGAACATAAAAACATCAACGTGGATCAGGTTAAAACATGTATGGAAAACCTAAAAAGTTTGAGTGAATTTATACAAGGTATAACATATCAGTTCTCTAGCTCTGTATCAGTTTAATGGTTTGAGGTTGACTGAAAATCTCGGAGCAGAAACCTGGTACAGATAGAGTTTTTTTCATTACATGGGGTCACCATGTATGGTAAAAAGTAAATATACTTTAATAAATAGTAAAATATGTTATTGAACTATCCTGATATACAGATTCCAGCTAAATTTAGAGAGGTATATGTATGTATATCTTATGTAACAACATAATTTTTTATTAAAAATATATACTTTTATATTATAATTAAAGCAATTCTTTTCAAAAGAACATATGGTAATAGTTCTTTGTAAACTTACCATGAAAAAAATCATCAGATACATAGAAGACATCAAATAAATGTCAAATAACCATAATAAGATGCCTGGAAGAGCCTCTGTCAATCCCCAGGATCGTTCTTTGCTCTGTATGCGGCCTCAGTAGAAAAGAAGGAGCATTCGATCTGATGCATCTTATTTGCGGATATTTCGCAAATCCTATCCAAGTATTTTCCGCAAACAACCTTAATGTATCTATTAAAGTCACTAGAATACATAATAGATATAGACTTATAAAGACACATCAATTCAATAAAAATATTGAAGAGCTGAATTCTGTTTAGAATACTAATTATAGTGTTTTTCCCAAATGTTCGAATATTTGCACTTCTTTCTTAATTACTGGCTTAGTCACTTTATGATTTAATTATCACTACAAAGAACAAATATCCGTCACAAATTCCACGAATGTCTGATCGTTTTTAACCTCACTTTTTACTATTAAACGTATTTTATTACAATTTATAATTGAAAATTAAATTCAATTTCAGTCTTGGAGCTTCTAATCAACTGGTTTAATATTAAAAGTTTATAAATCTTCATTTTCGCTTTGATCTTAAAACAGGTCACGCAAAAAAACGATTTTTCGCAAATTTTCGCCACACCACTGGCCAAAAAGACGCCCAAAATTATGGAAATGTGATCCCTATTTTCTGAATATGGCACTTCCACACATTTGAGATTATCCAATCTTCCAGATATTAGACGATAACAGCTGGAAATTATTTTCAAGCACTTCACTAAACACTTCAGATAAAAAAATTAAATTAATCACGAGCAAACGGACAAAAAACCAGCGAAGAGCGAGTCAATTTTGGCAAAATCGACTTGCGAACATAGACGATTAGACATCAAATGACAGAGAGCAGGAATCATGCGAGAAGGAATGAATAGAAATTTGAATAATCCAGCCAAGGATCTTTCCTAGAATTCGCAAATGCGCAGAAGACACAGGTAAAAAAAATAAATGGGCCTCTTTAATAAAATAAATTTGGAAAAGATTCAAATAATTTGTTAGCCTCAATATTTAGCTAATTTGGATTTGGATGTTAATGGGTTAATGCTATAGATATTAAGTTCCAATATATTGGGTTGCATAAGCGTATCAATGAATCAGGTTTAAAAACATATTCTTGTTTGAACCAGATTGTACTGTTTTCAATTAAATAATTAGAAATACAATACTGTACAACCTGTTCCACTGTAATTAGTTTTATGGAATTGCAAAACAAAACTAGCTTACCTGTAGCATAAGCCATAATGTTTTGCTAAGAAAACTATACAACTAAATGTTTTCATATATGCATCAGAGTGCGTCTTCAGGATAGAAAGTTATTACAAAACAATCTTTGTCATTAAGTTTATAAATGCAACCTCAATTTGCTGCATTCATAGGTGTATAATAATGTTAAATTTATTATCTACATAAAAATACACATTTTCTAAAGATACTTTTTGGGAGAGCAATTTTTAAAAATTAATATCCTAATCATCTATAATCAAGGTTAATATCAATAATAGTCTTTCAAAGTAATATTAATACCCTTCAAAATACAACGATACAGAGATTATATGTATCTTTATAATATAATTTCCGGATAATGTTTTTTTTATTTGCCTGGAGACAGAGTGGTTGGTGGTAACTAACTTATGACAAAAATTTTGATTATTATTATAAATATAGAGATATATGGTATTATCTAATCTAAATTACCCATATGCTAATTTTCAAAAATTCGAAGAATGATTTTGTTGTTAAAGCAATAAAAAGGTATACTTGTGTATTCTGTGCATAATCCTGTGGTTTTTACATATTAAATATGTAGATTTTAGCCTTTAATACTTCTAAATTTAAATAAAATTCTGCGAAATATTTGTAATATCATTTTTCGGGTGATGGTATTAAAAGAGCGCTATTTTTCTTTGTGGCATTTTTCTGCTATACAAGAAAATTACAGTACGTCTGTCCGTTCTGTAGCTCCGGGGTATCCGTGAGAGGGGAAACGATATTCTCTCCATGTTTTTTTCGTAAAAAATTCGACGACGCGTCCCATCAATAAAAATTCGACAAATTTGCAAGTAGCCAATAAAATGAGTTGGCGGAGCGATTTGCGGTGACGTACTCGTCAAGTCGACGTATAAAATATATTGTTGTTTATTTAAATGTTTTTTGTCCGCATACCTCTCATAGACACAGATCCAGCAGACGTACTGTATATACCTTTGAATAAGAAGACTAAGGAAGGAGCATATCAAAAATCTTAGGTACACCGCGATGGGGCTCAAATATGGCCGACTTAAATTCCGGTTTATCAGTGCCGTTCTAATTTTATTTAAAAAATGTAAAACTATGATGTAGGGTAGACGTGGGGTAGACTCTTTGAATAAGAAGACTAAGGAAGGAGCATATCAAAAATCTTAGGTACACCGCGATGGGCCTCAAATATGGCCGACTTAAATTCCGGTTTATCAGTGTCGTTCTAATTTTATTTAAAAAATATAAAACTATGATGTAGGGTAGACGTGGGATAGACTCAATAATTTTTTGTTTTATTTTACGTTGTGAATAAATGTTGGTAGTTATTAAAATTGTTATAAAAATATATAATTCTAATAAAAATAGATATAAGTTATAATAAGTATTTATTAACACAAACATCCGATACGCTACTGAAGCAGGTAAGTCAAATTAACGTATCTAAATTCTTTGACATCTAATCTTTGACAAGTAATAAATAAAAGCTAAAATGCAAGAAAAATATATAATTTAGTTAATTTAAGTGAATTTCATAAATGATCGGTTTACTACACGTATGTATATTATATAGTCACTTACTAGCGAAAAGTTGTTCCATTATTTCACTCAATTTTACCGAGATCTACCGCACGCTACACAACCAACTATTTTAGAGTCTTTTTCGATAAATCGCGATAGTGTCACTGTTAATTTAAGTTCTGCCACAATTTCCATCTAGATTTACTACCTTTTATACAACTATCAGTAGTAGAATAAATAATAAATAACATAAAATAAGCTCCGTAAAGACTGACAAATCCACAAAATTTCAAATCAAATTCAAATGTGTCAAATGAATCGTCAAACAGAACTGTCAAGGATCCCCACCCTAGAGAGCTTTTATGGTGGCTTTTCCGCCCACCATGCATAAATACATGGATAGCATTATGCTCCTTCCTTAGTCTTCTTATTCAAAGGGTAGACTCAATAATTTGTTTTATAATTGTTTATTTTACGTTGTGAATAAATGTTGGTAGTTATTAAAACTGTTATAAAAATATATAATTCTAATAAAAATAGATAAGTTATAATAAGTATTTATTAACACAAACATCCGATACGCTACTGAAGCAGGTAAGTCAAATTAACGTATCTAAATTCTTTGACATCTAATCTTTGACAAGTAATAAATAAAAGCTAAAATGCAAGAAAAATATATAATTTAGTTAATTTAAGTGAATTTCATAAATGATCGGTTTACTACACGTATGTATATTATATAGTCACTTACTAGCGAAAAGTTTTTCCATTATTTCACTCAATTTTTGCCGAGATCTACCGCACGCTACAAAACCAACTATTTTAGAGTCTTTTTCGATAAATCGCGATAGTGTCACTGTTAATTTAAGTTCTGTCACAATTTCCATCTAGATTTACTACCTTTATACAACTATCAGTAGTAGAATAAATAATAAATAACATAAAATAAGCTCCGTAAAGACTGACAAGTCCACAAAATTTCAAATCAAATTCATATGTGTCAAATGAATCGTCAAACAGAACTGTCAAGGATCCCCACCCTAGAGTGCTTTTTCCGCCCACCATGCATGAATACATGGATAACATTATGCTCCTTCCTTAGTCTTCTTATTCAAAGGATATACCTATAATTTATTTTGGAAATTTATACCTACCACACATAATATAAAACCACACTTAAGACAAAAATAACATAAAATGAAGTTTATTATTTCATTTTATTTACTATTGTGGAAATAACCCGATATAATTAATTGATAAATAATTACAAAAACAAGTTAATGAATTGCACCAAAAAAAATTAATTAAAAAGAAATTTTATATAACATTTATGTTTGGCATTTACAGTACGTCTGCTGGATATGTGTCTATGAAAAGAATGCGGACAAAAAACATTTAAATAAACAGCAATATATTTTATACGTCGACTTGACGAGTACGTCACCGCAAATCGCTCCGCCCACTGATTTTATTGGCTACTTGCAAATTTGTCGAATTTTTATTGATGGGACGCGTCGTCTAATTTTATACAAAAAACATCGAGAGAATATCGTTTCCCCTCTCACGGATACCCCGTAGCTACAGAACGGACAGACGTACTGTATATTTATAGTAGCATCTTCAAGAAAACTCAATACCTATATTATAGTTTATTTGAAATATCTATAATTAGATAAAAATATCATTCACTATCAGTCTTATCAGTAGATAATGATTTTTACGTAAATTTTAAACAATTTATTAATGCATTATGTGGTATTAAGAATAGTCTTTAATTTAATAATGGCCTTTAAACAATTAATAGGTACAGTTTATCCAAAGAATCAGGGAAAATGTCGACAAACGACATCCACAAAAGTGACAAAGTATAACTTGTAAATTAATATGACAGACAACGGTTATTGTCAAATATCCTCGGCATTGGCATTGGCTGAACATAATTTATTTACATAATTGGTTTAACTATATAGACAAAATATATAATTTTCATTAATATGCTAGAATAAATACTAATAAACATAATTAAAATCAAAATGATAACAGTTTGAGGGTTAGAGTTTATTAAATTTCTTAATCCTATTTTCAGTGACGACTGAGTATTTAAATTCATTAATATCTTCTTGTTTATCCCCTGTAACAGCTCTTATTACTAAATTCAATAACTTATTATCACTTCCTTCACTAGCAGAAACTTCATAATCCTTAATATCATACAAAGTCGTTTGTAATTCCTCTTCCAACAACTTATAACAATCTTCGCGATACACCAAAGTTATCTCTACAACTTCAATCAATTCTTTTAGAGCTTCTGTCATCATAATTTTGAAAATTGGATCCATCCGCAAAATTTCTTTAATACACTCCGACTTATTTTCGTACAGATATGTGTTGTAAAGTTGCTCGTTCTTTTTGATTGCATCATAGAACCCCTTCTTCGCTCCAAAGTCTTGTAAATGAAGACAAGTCTTCAGTTTAATCGTTGGCATAAGAATATTGATGGTCTCGTGATATTCTGTAACAGGAAGAATGTCTTCGATTTGTAGATTTAATTTTGCCAGTTCTGACTTGAGGTTATCGTAATAATACTGGATTAAATAGGTATAGTAATGCTGACGAAATAAACTGGATGTGGTAAAAAATATGAATGTTAGGACATCGTACGCTGGAACATAATACTTACAGTATTCAAAATTGAGGAGGTTGCACTGTACTGGAGAGTTTCCTTCATATCTGAACAACATATCTCGAGTATGGAGATTACCATGGCACAGAACATTACGGTACTTTTTTTGAGGTTTTACTAGATCAATGCTTTTTATCACCAAATCATCGAGTTTTTTTCCTAAATCCTTATCGAAATGTTCAGATTCTCTTATTATTTCCAGTAATGACTTCAAACTCTTTACACTAGATTCCAATATTTTACCATCTTTAAGAAAAGGTTCTTCTAATATTAATTCTTCTGAATCAAGTGATTCTTTGGTACCTTTACAAATTTCCTGATGTGCTATAAATGCAGAGTGTAGTTTTGCTAAAGTTTGTAGTCCCAAACTGATATGGAACCTATCCAAAATATGGGGGTTCATTTTTTTAGCTACCACAAAAGAGTCTAATGATAAGTCTTCCAAAACTATGAAGTCGTTTGCTTTACCAAACATGTAGTGGGGAGCAATATCAAGTTCGTAATTTTTCAGCGAATTGATTATTTTTGGTAAAATGACTTCATAAAAACGTAATTCTCTTTCAAAGGCATGGATGGACTGGAGAAATAGTACTAAAGGTTTGTATTTCCAATGGTACTTCTTCAAGAAAACTCGTATTCGTGAAATGTTTTTCGATATTTTTACACTTATTTCCAACAGGGAGTCTCCTTTGAAGTAGTCCCGTTCGTTGTCGATAAACGGTTTAATTTTAAACGTCACATACTCGAACTTGTCACTGTCCAGGTATTTCCGGACAATATTTTTACAATCTTCCGCGTTTATTATCGGTTGAGACATTGTATATAGTACTTATACGGAGCACTACCTGTGTTTAACTACTTTATCTGCAAACAATTTGATCTGATATCGTTAACTGATAAGGTGAAATAAATAAAATTATAAATACCTATCGAGTTTATAGCAGATAAGAGCAGACTTCCTGACAGAGAGAGCCAACGTTTCGAAAATGGACACTTGTATTATTGTACAAAGTAATTGTACGGTCGAAAAATAAAACGGCGTCCGGTTGGCTTTGGAAATGACGATCGATGACATTTCCCATATAAATTTTCATATAAAATGACAGCGACCTTCATTTCATAGCCAATTGGACGCCATTTTTTTCGGTCATACGGCACAACAAGGGTACAACGATACACGAGACAGTATAAAAAAGGTGAAAAATATATATTTTTTATTTATTTATTGATATATTTTTGCAACTACCAAAAGAAATTTAACAATGTTTTAGAATTATGTAAAGGAAACCAAAAATACAATAATATAAAATCAATTAAAAATAATATAGTCATCCCAATCCACTGTAGAAGTTGAAATATTTTCCTGAAAAATTCATCCCAGTGCATGTTTTAGGACTGCACCCAGTGCTAAAGTCTATGAATTTAGTTAAATATTTGACTTTTGAGTTAAAAATGACGCCCTAAAAGCACATATTCTACATTACTTACCCATGAGGGCCACCTTAAAATAAATTCCTGTATCCGCCCCTGATTGCACTTAAAAAAAAGTTTTTTTATAGGAATTACAGGATGTCTGAACACACTATTTCACCCCTCTGTATTTAAAATTATACAGGGTCCGTCAATAGTGCGTGGGGCATCTCTGCGTAGCTCCTAGAATAAAAAAAAATAAAACTTGGGATTTTTTTTGTTTAAGTGCCAACCTAAAGGATATATGTACTAGATGATGTATTTCAGGAAAATATTTTAACTTCTATAGGGTCACTCAAAAAAATAGTGTGAGTGCGGATCGGGATGATTTTTTTTTAATTTAAACACTCTGTATATTATTGCATTTTTGGTTTCCTTTCAGATCATTTTACATAATCCTAAGATAAAGAGTAAATAAATATATGATAGGTATATAGAGTGGTATACATATATACAGGGTGGCGCACCTCATTCGCCTCGGTTGATTATACGAAAACGAAAAGATGTAGAAACAAAATGTTTTATGAGAATATGTGGGGACGCAATATGCACAATTTAAAATTATTTTAAAATATACAGGGTGTTTCAGAACTAAGATCCATATCAAAGTTATATTTTTTCTTATGGATTCTTGGGCCCAAAAAAATGCATTTATTATAAGGGTTAAATATCTTTAAAATCTTTGGCTTTTGAGATATTTAAAGATATTCAAATATGCATGCTACAATAGAATAGATTATTAACACCCTGTACAGGGTGGGTCTCAAATTCGACGCTTTTAAATGGAAACACCCTGTTCTATAGGAGATAGACAAAAACTAATATCGGTGTCTGGGGCTCAATTATTGTCAAAAACATGATGGTGAAAACCGCATATCGATATCTGTTACCGTTTCGGAGTCACGGGGTGTTTTTCAAAAATATGCATTTTTAACAAATTGCTGTAACTTTTTTGCTATGGAAAATTTTGTATTTTTATGGAAACATTTCCAAAGCACCTTTTTACGTAGAATTTAATGGTTTAAGTATAATTTTTTTAAAATTAATAGTTTAAGAATTATCACGAGAAAATTTGATTTTTTATATGGGACACCCTGTATATTTTTAATTTGTTGAAAATAATTTAAAATTACCTTTCCAAAAATATAACACACTTGATATTTTGCTCGATTCGTGTTCGAGATATAGAGTATATAAAAATTCGCCCGCTTTAAATAAGTAGGCTTTGAACGGCACCGGCTGTAATGCAAAAAAAATCTAGCTGTGAGCATCAATTAAAACGAAAATAATATTTGCTATGAGAGATGCAGAATTTTATAACAATTTAAATATATTGTCACACCCCATTTTGTGGGTTATGACTAGGGGCATAGCAAATAATAAATACTTCAATTCAACTTAATAATCAATTTAATTAATCTACGAATAATACAATAATTATAAAACTAAATGTGTACTTACATATTATATTTATGGACGAACATCATCACTGGCTCGAGGGTAGTGTCAGGGTAGTGTAACGCCAATGCCGGAATCTCGACCGCGACCTTATCGAACATCAATTCTCGACTATCGACTGTTCCCCCAACAGGTGACATTTTTGTATTTATTGGTTCGTTACGTCGAATCATCGAATCAGCATTATTGGTCTATCGGTGCGATGACCGGTGCGATGACCGCGTTAGTGCTGATTTGATGATTTTATAAATTTGTAATATTGAAAGGAAATATTTTCGCAATTGCCAATTATGCTTATAACTTTGATTTTTAAAACTTTACTTTTGTTGCGTAAATGCTAATGAACTTTATTTATCTTATATTTCCTTTCAATCGAATTATTAATTTACGAAATATATTAATATTAAATATGTTACTTTATATATCGAATAATTCATCCTTGACACTTCCCCCGCACCTCTAAAGCTGGACCCCAGCGATAATTCAAGATTTATGAAATTATACTTTTTAACAATAATTATTATACATTGCAATAAATTGTGCTTAACGTTTCATAATAAAAAAATGTTTTAAGTATACAATATTAAAAAAAATAAAAAAATGTTTTTAAATAAATTACTAACTAAAAAAAATATAAAAAAAGCTCTATAAGTTTAAGGATGGCGATTAGCCGTTTACATATAGACAAAAAAAAATGTCTTTTAATACTGGCACTAACGTGAACTGCACAATACCTATATAGTTTTTAAGTTTCAATACTTTGCACTGACTTCGTTCATAAAACACTCACCCACAAATCTCGTCGGCTGCTCACGGAGGCTGAAAATTGAAGTTTTGATTGTAGTATCCACCTTCACATCCTAAACCCAACGAATGCACACATGCCTCCCGTTCCCTGCACTTTGAAAAGCTCTTTGTTTTGGTAAGCTGTTTCTCAATACTTGCGTCCTTAGGGAGTTGTTTCTTGATATCGGTGTAGGCTGACAATGGAAACAAAACTCCAGTATGATTTTGTTTGTCATCTGGATTGGCGTCGAATTCATCTTTCGAAGAAGAGACCAGTTTTTAGACAAGACAATAACTCTTCCTGTAGCTGCTTATATCGCCAGACCAAATTTGACAGCATGTTCTGAACCCATTTTTGAATTGGACTACTTGCTTCGGACTGCATTACCATGGTGTACTGGTCACAAAGCTTCATAAACAAGGGTAGGCAGTTTGCATCGTATAGGCATGATGGTGTGGTACTACATTCTTCTTTCTCCTTCAGGGTTGAGTTCATACGTCAATTCTTCTCAGTGGTGTTCCTTGACTTGTTGCTTGGTATTGGCAGTTTTGACCAGTAATTACATGAAAAAAGAGAACAAAGAGTAAATATGTGCTCTTACTTACAGCTTATTGTATTAAATTATTATGTCGTATAAACTAGTTCTTAAAGTACTTAATCCTATTTTAAGTTTGTTTGTTTAATTTTATTTTTAATATAGTTCAGAATATCATTTTCTTTTTTTTTTTTTTTTTTTTCTTGGCGAGAGAGAATAAGGGAATATAAAATGTTTTATATGATTGGGCGTAAAACAACAATAAACTTTTATTTTCGTTGTAAATTTGTAGGATTTATGAACACTCCTACCTAATTTGTATGCCCTCTATCTCCTACCTACATTTGGGTTTATAATAATTTACTTTATTTCTTTTATTTTTTATATTAAGCGCTAAATAATTAACTCTAGTGGTTCAATACTTTTCGTTTCAAATTGATATTTGTCCTAGAGTTTGCGCGCAGTTAGGTTAAATATCAATTTAAAACCTACACACTAGGGGAGCTCCAATAATACATGTCATTAATAAAGACATCATTAATATTTTATGTTAAGAAAAACATATCTTTTTTCCAATTATTTCAATATTCCATCTTGATTTTATTTTTGAAGAAGACTAACTTGGGCATACAGAGTTGCCTTTCCAATACACGTATACACAATACTTATTCTATTTGTATGCATTCAATAGTTGCATTTATTTTATCCCCAGGAGATAGAGATAGGAGGTTCTGATTATCATTTGGCTCTAGATTATAATGAAATGTTGATTTTCGCTAGATACGCAAGAGAGTTTAATATTTTTATTTTCATTGTTAAAATTACATCTATTTAAATTTTTTAAACGCCTATTATTTTGCCTTTTTAACTTTATAAAGTAATGCCAAATACAGTAAATAACTAAACATAAAAAGAAAACAATGAAAAAAGTGCAAACTAGCCCAAAAGGTATGTCATGAGACGTGTCGTGATCAAGTTTCGCACCTTGACCGTGAACCATTTGAATTACCTATACTAGTTTCATTTACTAAATTATTTTTTTTTTGCTAAAAATTGTCGTATAACGATTTTGAGTAAATACATTTACTTAAAGACTGAGATTATACCTATTATAAATACGTTTGAAATTACGATTTTTTTTTTTTTATACTTCTGTCACATAAAATTACTGTGTCAGCTAATGGTATATATAGAAATTAGAAATATATCACTCGATTTTACCTATTTTATATATTGAATTAAGAAATCTAAAAAAAATTTTGTGTATGTTCAGACTTTTGACTAGATAATTAGAACGAAAATGTAAACTTAAATTCTACTTTTATCGGTTTTCCTTTTTCGGGTACCTATTCTTCGCATTTTACATTTAATTTTGACTGTAAAATTTGACTATCTACAGCAATTCCAGGGAGGGTGGCTAGGGTGGATAATAATATCCTTTGCCATCATGACGTTTCGCTTCCTAGATATTATCTTTGTCCTATGTCTTCTTCTCGATGTATGCTCTTTCCATGGCATTGTATTATCTGTTTCAGGTTTATATTCTAAAACCTTTCGCTTTCTTGTAAATGGTAGTTCTTCATTTATGTTTTCTGACTCAATT